GTGACTGGAAGAAATACACTGATCATGTTTTAAATGTCGAAAATGATTACAAATTAAAAGATGGCATTGTTGAAAACGAACTTGAAAAATTTATTATATCTGTTGGTGCAGACAGTAGTGAAGAGAGTGACTCTGATGATTCCTTGTCATTGTTATCAGGTGTAGAATATTTAGAAACAGATTTTGACTATGAATCAGACTAAAGTATTTTTAGTCTGATTCATAGTCAAAATCTTATCTTAAATTTTCTATTGTGATTAACATGATGATTTTGTGACACCTGTATTATGTAATTTATCCATGGCACTTAATTGTAACAAAAATAAATGTTTTTTTTATTGTAATCTGGTGTTTATATTGACTAATTTAATTTGATAGATAGTGGTTCTGGATCAGAGCAAAAGGTTGTGATGAAAATCCCTTAGGAGACATGTATGTGTTATGAACACATTATAAATATAAGGGCCAGAAATCAAAATTGGCTAACATCACATTTATTAAAAAAATGTGGCCAGAGTCGCCCATATTCATTACAAAAAAACAAAGAAGTCGTTGCAAAAAACACCCTTTTAATTAATGACAAATATGAATTTTTAATATTATAAGTGCTGTTAGCCAATAGGTATAACGAATGGGTTAAAAAAAAGATTCGATTTAGTCCGTCAGTCAGATAATAGAAAAATATTGGATACGTATTTTTTTTCGCTTTAATTTAACAACAAATGGCTTAAGAGGTACTATGCGACGACTTCAAATATGCTTTGCAACAATGTTACTTTAATACAGTTTATCGATACGAAATCAAGTGTCAAAATGGAGTCCAGTGGAGAATGCCGATATTGACATTTCGAAATTGCTCATCATTGATAGAGAATACGAAATAGTGATTTTGACACAATCAAAGTGTCTATTTTTTACGGTGATGACGATTCTTGGTTGTCAGTTGAGTTAGTGAATAGGCCTACTGATATGCTGTTAACTGTACAATTAAGAACAGTCACGCTTTAGTCAAATGTTCCAAAACAAATAATTTTAATTGATATCTAAATGTTAAGATTAAATATAATTAATAAAAGTATCAAAATTATTTTGCAGTACTACATTCAGTGTTTACTGCTTAAGAATTTTTGAAATTGCCGCCCTTTTCTTGTGACACGTTTCGCTTGCCAGACTCTACAACTTCTATCGAATACTATTCGAAGTGCGTTTATTCGCTATCGACTGCGGTAAAGTAATGAGAATTTACGATAGCAACTCATGGTAGCGCTACAGCGTATGATGGCGCTTCCCACGGGTAAAAGATTATTCGTATTCCAAATTTTATCAAAATCCGTTCAGTAGTTTTTACATGAGAGTAACCAACATCCATCCTTACAAACTTTCACATTTAATTTAATTTAATAATATAATAATATAATTTTATAATATGATTGTAACTCGATAAATATGTTTCTTTTTCCTCTAATATAGCCAATTTTACATAGTTTTAAGAACTATAGTACCAAAATATATATCTTAAAAGTTTTACAATAATATCAATCGTGTTTTATAATTATTTCCATATATATTGTCAAGTTGACATTTTACAATTATAATTAAATAGTTTTTTTAACATAAGTTTAATTTTGCATCCACGGGAAGTGTGACTACTGTCCACGGTAACTATAATAAGCTTTTAATGAGTCGATTGACGAATGAATTATTATGCTTTTTTTTTGTCTGTTATATATTTTTTTATTGTTTTGGTGGAAAGTGATATTTTGGTCCAATGAAGTCATTTTTTATTTTTCAGTACGAAATTAAACAGGGTGCAAAAGCAGCCCTTGCAGTTTCTTACCGGTTCCTTTCTTACAGTTTCTTCTTTTCTCGGTACAAGGTTTCCCGTAATAGATTGCTGAACTATAAGCACAGAGTTTCGACTTTCTTATATGCTTGTAACCAGTAAGCCAACTTGTCTATAAATTTATTCAATAAATTGTTTTGACTGAATAAATTTCGCTTCCTCCTCATTAAGTGAGATACCGTGCGTACTGTGTCACAATTTTAGTTCAGAACATCTTGTTTAGTAGTAAACATAGAAAACTTGAAACACCTACATAATCTTTGTATTATATTATTGGTAAAAGAACATAAAAATACTGTAAACTTTGATGAATAAACAAGAGAAAATAAAGAAAACAAAGTTGGTGATGAATAAGTAACAATTGGCATAACAGTAACATTATTAAAGAAGTAACAATTGGCATTTTATTTAAAAATTTGGTTAGCAAGAAGAAAACAGCCGATTAATCAATAGGCAAGCATACAAATATTTTCTCAGCACTAAAACAGTCTGCAATTCATGTTCTGTGAACAATCATGATAACGGTCAGCAATTTAAATTCAAAAAGGTAGCGTATTTTATGATGCATCAGCAAAATAAACATCCACGCCGCAAAATAATTATTTGGGTATTAAGATTATACTATTGAACACCAAAGAAAACCTTTAACTATGCCTTTAATTTGATAAGTGTGCATATTTTAATTTTTATTAAAATTATTAGGTTGGCACAAAAGTAATGAGACACACTAGAAAAATCTATAACATTTCCTTTTTAAAATCAATTTTTTCAATAATATTCTAGAATGTTGTAGAACATTCTAGGTACTTCTGGTGTAGAGTATATAAAGCCGCGCTCGCGATTTGTTTAGTCAGTTTGAAGAAAAATGGACGAGCGACAAGTTCGAACACTATACTTATACGAGTACTTGTTAGGCCACAGTGCGCGGGCTGCGGCTGACAATATCAACAATGCATTAGGCGCTGGAAGTACAAGCCATGCGACGGTTTGACCGTTTTAAATCAGGAGACAGGAGCCTTGAAAGTCAGTCACGCTCAGGGCGACCACCCGTAATGAATGATGACGATTTGCGCCGCGAACTGCAGTTGAATCCGGATGCTACCACTCGTGAATTAGCGGAAGCACTTAAATGCAGTCACCACGCCGTGGAACACCATCTGCATGAGCTTGGTTATCGAAAAGTTTTGGCTCGGTGGGTACCGCACATCCTTACAGACGCCAGTCGTGCAGTCCGTGTCGCTATCTGTCAGTCACTTTTGCTGCGACCCCGACGTAAAGAGTTTTTATCAGATCCGGTTACTGGAGATGAATCATGGATTTATTACGAGAACGATACACGTCGTGCTTTTTGGCTGCCTCGAGAAGAAACGCCACCAACTCAACCGAAGCCGAGTCAAAAGAACCGCCGAAAAATTCTGCTTTGCTGTTTCTGGGATACGCAAGGCATACTGTTTTATGAGCTATTACACAATGAAACTATAAACGCTGACAAATATTCAACCCAGCTTACCAAATTATCTGCCGCTATCAAGAAAAAACGACGAAGACGAGTCAATGTAGTTTTACTGCACGATAACGCTCGACCTCACGTCGCATCTGTGGTTCGCCGGCAGTTGGAGAACTTGGGCTGGGAGACGATACCCCACCCACCTTATTCCCCAGACCTCGCCCCATCAGACTATCATTTGTTTAGAGCCCTGAAACAGCATTTGCGGGGTAAACAATTTAAAGATTTCTCTGACGTAGAGGCGGAGTTGAACAACTTTTTCGAGGCACAGCCATCAGAGTTCTGGGCAAAAGGCATCCAAATTTTGCCGGATCGTTTGCAAGAAGTCTTAGATACTAATGGTAATTACATCATTGACTAAACTTTTTTTATTGTAATAATAATAAAAAAGTAAAAACTTAAACCAAGTGTCTCATTACTTTTGTGCCAACCCGATATTTAACTCATTTTATTGTATATTTTACTGGGAGTATATTATGATCAGAATTTTATATTTTAATATTATTATATATTGCATTCTGATTTTTTTCAATTAAAATAGTCGTCATATGACCGCAAGACTAAAAATAAGGTACATTTATAGAATAACAAAATGACTATATAAAAAACTAAATAAATCAGTGAAATCAAATGAAAATTAACTAAGTGAAATAGACATTTTTTTAAATAAGTTAAAAGCAATTGTCAAAAATTCTTACCAGAGTATTTGATTGGCAATGCATCATCTCGTAATTTTATTATATTTAAAGTTCGATTCAAACAACTATCCCTAAAATGAAGTGAGCAGATAAAAGTAACTTTTTCATTACATTTAATATTTTCTGCTTCTATGTAACTCGGCCATTTTCCTCTTTTGTTTCATCTTTTGGTAATCTAAAATAATTAATATATTTTTAAATATTAAAATTATCGATATAAACCATATGTTAAAGTAACGACACTAGCCATGTAAACAATATTATTTACGGACCGAAATATTATAAAAATATAAACGAAAAGAGCAATATAGCATAAATAGAACACGCCAAAATACGATATGTATCGATTTATACACGCAATCATTTTCAGAATAACTTACTTACGTTTTAAATACTGTTATTCCAAGAAAGTGTTTAACTTACCGGTGAAACGTAATATTGCTCGGTTTGCGGGATATTGATGACGCACAACCAATTATACAGCACCTAGGCATTGTTTTGCATAAATAATTTACAATTTTCTGCCATGAAAGTTATATAAATTAAAGTTATAAATGAAATTAACCACAAAATTTATAACACTGACAGCTGAACTACTTCCGAGAATACGCAAAGCAAATTTGCAAATGGCTGACAGGTGGTACGATAGCTATATCTCATGACGTCACGTAAAAAATTTTGAACTGTCACACTAGTGTTATCTTTGTTTACTAAAGAAACTTCTTATTAGTTAAAAAAAGACAACATGATGTTTTTGATGTCAACTTCAGATTGCATGATATTTATATAACCATAGAAAATATTTCCACTCTACCTTACTCTATGCATCGCATTGACAAAGTCACGCCATCTGAGGGAAATCCTGCTAAACCTATATCTGTCAACGTTCTCGCACAATATGACAAAAAAAATTGGAGAGTGGGCTCTCTTTTCCATAATATTACTATGACTCTTTGGTCTAACTCGGTCTAACTTTTTGTTTGTATTGTATGCGCTTCACTGCAATTTTGTTATCTTTGCGATAACGAGTTTATTATCATTATCTGTATTTAGTTAATAAGTTCATTAACGATACTAGTAAATACACTCGCATGATAAATATTGTTTAAAAACTAACATTCCTCATAAAATATTGCAGACACGATTTTATGTTGGACATTGGTAAGTCTTGTTTATTGAATTATTTATCATTACTCGAGTGACCTGTGACCGCGGAACATACGTTTATACTACTACTACTCTTTGATACGTTCTTAAGTTTTTCTTTTAGTTACTTATATCCGAATTATATACTCTTGAATATATGTATAAAAAATATCTGTCTTTAATATTATATTGTTGGGTAAATTTGTAGTATCCGTGAATAATTAATACATTTCGACAATGTAATGTACATGTACTTCAATAGACAATGTTGTACTTTATTATTTACTGATAAATAAAAATAATTTCTGTATTATACTTTCAGAGTTATAAAAGGTTTAAAATAACTACAATGAATAAGTTGCAAAATAATTGGTTTTCGGAGTCATGCGATATGTGGCCTGGTGCCACATTTTCATTTGAAGTGACAGAGGTGCTGCATGAGGAGAAATCCCAGTTCCAGAATATCCAAGTGTTTGACACCAAAAGCCTTGGAAAAGTGCTTGTACTAGATGGCATTATTCAATGCACCCAAAAGGATGAATTTTCATATCAGGTATTTGAGAACAATGTCAAATTTTATGTTTTAATAAGTTTCATTTTACAAAAATGAGTTCTGCTGAGTATCCATTAAAATTTTGGTCATATTTGGGCAAGTGATTAGGAGTTAAATTGAAATAATGATTCAATATTATGAGCATGTTGAAAACACAGGATAGCTTATAAAAATGTTATGTGAACTCAACTTATTTTTTTACCATGTGCATACTTCTTGAATGCAATTTGGCTGATTCGAGAAATGTCTATCTACAAAACAAATTTTAGGGTTCTTGGTAAATATTTGATGTCCATCATGAAAAAAGATTGTGCCAATATTGAACACTTATTTCAACATTATTTTATTTTCATTTCCTATGTTTTTAATCAGTAGCAGTCTTTAAATCTGTATTTACATATTTTATTGTGTGAAATTTTATACAAGAGCAGAGTCAATGCCTTGAGCATTCTATGTCAGACAATTTTAATTTAAGTGATATAGAGACTAATAATAAGCAAATGTTGTTTATTACATTTTATGTAATTATTTTAAAATTGATACAGTCTGAGTTTAGTTTTTATTTCTGTGTTAAATTAGAAATGTGTATATATTTTTAAATTCCAGGAAATGATATCATTTCTACCTTTATGCTGTCACAAAAATCCTGAAAAAGTACTCATCGTCGGTGGGGGTGATGGTGGTGTTGCCAGGGAAGTCGCTAAACATCCTAAAGTTAAAGAGATTGTGCAGGTAATTTAAATATGTTATTATTTCTCTATGGTATTTTTGAAGAAACTGGGAAACTAAGAACAGAACCAATATACTTTTAGTAGTTTACCAATCAAAATTTTATTTTATGTGTCCCTCAATTTAGAACATGCATATTTTTTGTGACTATACAGTAGAAATGAATCACATTCAAATATTATCCTATTCAGAATATAGAATTACCCACTACTTTTTGAGATGGAGACATGACAGTTATCAATACTTTGATGTTGTTCCCAAAGTTGACTAAGTCCCGAGGCATGTAATAAAGTAAAAATCTTGGCTATCTTAAAGAAACAGAGAGCATAATTACGTGTTTTATACAGTTGCTATATTCTAGAAAATCATTTGCTGGTTTTGGGACTACATAACTCTCTAAATTAGTAAATCATTATAAAAACGGATTTAGCTATTAATTGTAAAAAAATTGTGTTGTGTAAAATTGTATTTAAATAATGATATAATTAATGTGTCAAAGCTCTCCTTGCATTTTGATGAATGAAACTAACAAGTAGTAGAATCATGAGTTGTATTACATCATTATCAATGACCTCAAACCAGTCGTGAGATAACACTATCTTTCTGACAATGCTAGTGACTTTATCTTTTTTATTAATATTCTTTATCATAAGTGTATGTGTCTGTACTTCAATATAAACAAATAGTTTGTAATTTGTCATAGATGTTATTCATTAGTACTTCTTTATACTATTGTGTTCTTAATTGGATGTGTAATATTTAAAATGACATGCTGTTTTATCATTGTAATATGAGTGTCTTGTGGTCTCAATATGTTTTCTTGGGTCATTAATTCTAATTACCTACCATAAAATGTATCAAGGCACAAACCTCTCTTTTGTAAGAAATCACAGAAGCACACTCAATGCAGATTGGTGGGTGTTAATGACATCATATGCATCTGAGAGTGATAGCTTAACCGCTAAGCCATCTGAAGCACGGAGAAGCTCGAGATCGTACATTTTTGGTCGCCCATCCTATGCGATTACGCCAATTTTCCGATGGGCCGGTTATGACCGGCATTCCACATCGTAGACTGAACGCATTTACTACTGCGCAGTCGAGCTCCTCACCATTAATTAACGGCACATTATTTGCATAATTGTTACTATTTTCAGGTTGAAATTGACGAGAAAGTAATAGAAGTATCCAAGAAACATCTGCCATTCATGGCAGTGGGTTTCGACAGCCACAAACTGACGCTCCACGTGGGTGACGGGTTCGAATTCCTAAAGAATCATCGTGAAGAGTTCGACGTCATTATCACGGACAGCAGCGATCCCGTGGGCCCCGCCGTCAGTCTCTTTGAAGAAAACTACTTTTCACTAATGAAGAAAGCTCTCAAGCCGCACGGCATCGTGTGCTCCCAAGCCGGTACGATATGGAACGATCTAGAATTAGTGAGTAGCACTTTGAGGTACTGTAAGAACCAGTTCGCGTCTGTTGCGTACGCGTACACCTCTGTCCCGACTTACCCCTCTGGCCAAATAGGTTTCGTCATAGGCTCTTTAGACAAAGATGTCAATTTTGACACGCCGGATTTGGTCTTCAGCCGTGACGATGAGAAGGCAATGAATTTGAGGTACTACAATAGCGATGTTCATAAAGCGGCATTCGTTTTGCCCACTTATGTAAAATATCAACTCGTCTGATTCTTCTGATCAGAGTTTTTCGTGTACTTAAAAGTGCATTTAATTTGACAATGCAACAACTTGTACTGCCAATATCCGACCATAATAAAATTAACTTTACTATTGTTTTTGTTTGAATCTCACACATGTAAATCTAAATGTGCCGCTTGAGTTTTTGTTACGATTTAAGATTTTATGTGTTGTTGAGATAATTTAATAGACATACGTATTTAAAAGCTTTATAATACTCTTAGTTTTGCAAATGAATTTAGTTATTGCTATTCACATTCCATATTGTTCCATTAGGTAGTCGTTTAAAGAATTTGCTAGATTTTAAGATTAATTATAATGAATTTTCTACATTATATAATTAGTACTCAGTTGAGTATACATATTTTATATACTTTTTATAACTATCGGACATAATCTATAATTTTATATTATGAATTGTATCATATTATTGTAATGTGGGTGCCTTAATTGCTCATTATGATAGATATTGTTATAAATCTTTTGTACAAGTTTTTATAAATGTTAAATTAATAAATATATTTTTGTACTATAAATATTATGGTTACGTTATTTGGTTCTCTATAGATTGTACAGTCAACAGCATATCAGGTTATACAAATCTGTCAAATTGGTTCAGCCATACGCGAAATAATCGCGGGCGAAAAATTGGGTGATCAAAAGTTTATTATCCCGATCTCCTCTGTGCTTCGGAATGTTAAGCCATTAGTCCAGGCTGCATGTGCAGTCATTTATCACCCACTAAACACCATGGGCCTGCGTGGTGGGTAATAGGTTATTCTCCCTATTCGATTTGATTCTACTCATAGGCAAGGCCTGAGCCCCAGCTGTGGGGAATTATTCGGCTATTGATAATCACCTTTGGAAGTACCTACTTTGATATTATTTGATTAAACTTCCATACTATAACCGCGCTAGACGTCGACTCCAGAGGCGGACTAACCTCATCAGAAGCCCGGATCGTCGATTTGATTTTGCATTTACACCCTCCCCTCCCCTCCCTCACACTCATTTTTAACAATTATGATTTTGGCGCATGCTGCTGTCATTTGCGAGTTTGGAGGACTGGAGGCCCGGGGCGAACATAGTTGGCTACTGGTTAAGTCATAGTCTAGGCTGTTTAACATACTGGCTTAATACAATAGCACTCTAATATAATAGACCAACTATAGCCTTGACTAGCCATAGAATACTATATCTTAACAATGTTATATGACGATATTTCATTTAATGAATCCCGCTGTGCAAGCGCCATTATCACGGAGTGACTGCAGTTTATGCGGGTGGATGTTATTTGCAGATATATGCTACCTGGTTTCGAGTTATTTTACCTATGTTATTATAAACAGTACCTATGTCACCACTAACTTGCACTTGAGAGCTTAGTGTAAGTTTTTTTGACGTTTACGTTCATGGTGAGGACGTTAAGATTTTAGTATGCAATCCGGTACAGCGCCCCTAGCGGTAACTACCAAGAACTAAAAATCTCCATACGAATTCTGAACGCGCTTATTAGTGTACGCGTTAACGTAAAACTTGCACTTACCATTCTGTTTTCGACACAACACAACCTGTATCCGATCGCGAAACGACACTTTTTGATGTCTTCTGACTAGAGTATATTGTTCTGTGCTTCTGACCACTTCTGACTTGACATGCTAAGAATGATACAACGGTTAGCTGATGGCCCCTATCCACTAACTGGTTCATTAAAGGTTCGAACACTCTTTCTAGCGTAAGAAAAAAAAGACAGAATTTTGTAACAAACACAAGACTTCCACGCGACGGATACATAACAAGCGTGGTCCGCTCAGATTCACCGACTTAAGACTAGTGCACTAAAACTACTACTTATCTTGTGAATGGTACAAATACAAATCCGGTTAAAATAGTTTGAATAAAATACATAACTTGATATTTTTCTATTATCCAACTGACGGAGTAAATAGGATCTTTTTTTTTACTCAGTCGTCTGCGTTATTGACTTACACGTTTATAATTTTTTACTACAATAAAAAGATAGTGCTTATAATTAAATAAACTTTAACTTTAGAGGTAACTTTTATTTATTATATATATTTTATAGATAAAGCGTAAGGACTTGTATATTCTTACGGTTCTTTATTCTATACTTTTTCTCCCATTCTCTCAACCTTATCACAATGAATGTCACTTTCCAGCCTTTCTACATTGTGTTCATTGTGTTTCTGTTCCAGTCTCACTATATTTTCAGCGCATTATTTGTGTATTTAAAATATTTCCCTGGGAAAACGAAAGTTCGCTCGACAACTCCTTTAGAGATCAGATTCATTCTTAAAAACATTATTTCCTATTATAGTACTATTTTAATATCTCATAAGTACAGACGGCTGCACGTCAGGATGCCACAATATGTAAAATTTCCTCAATATTAATTGATTTTGTACTTTACTTACAATGAATTAAGGTTTAAAACTAGCTGGATATATAGGCTTGTGTCCTACAAGTTAAAATACAGGTTTCTGTTATATATCCGGAAATGATGAACCATTTTCACCTATAAATATTTAACAAAATAAATTTTATTACACTATTTTGGAAAATATTACGCTTAAAAAACTTTAAAAAAAAATAGGGAAAATATCCTACAAAAGTTTGCTAAAATATATATAACATTAAATTAATAACACAAAACGTTACAACTTTCATTATAACAGCTATAAACATAAACGACCAGACACCCATACTTTTTTCTCTACTGTAGCACTGTATGACGTCACTTAGTGCCTTGAATTTGTAGGGAGCGTTTTTGGACGATTAGCACGGTTCCACAAACATAATATAAAAAAATTGCTGTAAAAAAAAAACTAGCCTATTGCAAGACTGCCTGGCTTAATATTATTACGAGAAAACACACATCGCTACACTTTTTCTCAGATATAAATAGAGAATTTATTTATAAAACAAAAAAGAAGTAGCTTATTAATATAATCTTTAACGGCGCCAAAATCAAAATCGCACATTTAAAATTAAGCGACTTGTCATATTTTAGTCCAGGAACAAAGAAATAAAATCCGAAAAAAAAACTGTAATTGCGAGAAAACACACACTACTTAAATTAGGCTACAATAAATATTAGATAACATCACATACATTGCTCAGATTCCAAGATGAGTAGCTAAAGCCCCCGTATTGTGGAGTATCTGAGACAACGAAGGTACCACAACACCCAGACCCGAGACAATATAGAAAAGTTCATTTCTACATTGACCTGACCGGGAATCGAACCCGGGACCTCAGAGATTGCTACGAAGGTCGTCATCAACATCCTGAGTTATAAAAAGAAACTTTATTAAACTTACTTAATTTAGCCTCAGGAAAATTAATACAATAAGTGTTTCTTATAGAATAAACAAAAGGTGGTCTTATTGCTAAGCAGCAATCGACCAATTTGAGATAGTAAAACGTGGATACTGTGGAGACTGTAGAAGATAATTAAATAAGTAAATGGCGGATACAACGTAAGATGAACTTGACAGTCAAGAGCACGGTAGGCTATGGGGTCATCCATAAATTACATCACACGATTTTCATGATTTTTTTGCCCCTCCCCCCATCCTAGTCACATTGGTAAGTCTCCCCCCTCCTATTTTGCAAGGTTTGTCACACACAATGTCACATATTTTGCAAGGTTTTTGTAAAGTTATAATTAAAGTTCGTGTTTTAACACTTAGATTATAATAGATTTTGAAATGTGACGTCACGAAATTTAAGACCCTCCCACCCCCTTGTCACATTTCGTCGACCCCCTCCCTCCCACCTTAACGTGTGACGTAATTTATGGATGGCTCCTATATAAATCTGTCAAACCCCACTTGATTTTAAAACTTAATACATTGAGGGTAGAGGTCAAAATCCATTGACGAAAGACATATTGTAATAAGTTGCCGTGCAACCGTGTGTATGTTTCAAATAAAACGAGTCTTTTTATAACATTATTCAGTATCTATTTGTGTATTGTTTTCAGTCTTTTTCCTCATTGAGGTTCCTTCTATTTCTGCTTCTTGAATGGCAGAGAATATGGCACCCGCTCTCACTTTCTTCAGTATCTTCTTATCGTGAAATGGATGCGTGTGGGCTGATATCCTACGAAAGAAATAGTAAAAATTATAATTTTATAATGTAATTGTTTGTTTAGGGAATTGTTTAGTGGGATGAAAATGGCCCATATGTTGATCCAGGCTTCAAATTTTTATTCAATTTTTCACCTAGGTAAGGTTTCATATCATAACATGGTTATAATCACAATGACAAATTTTATAGTAAACAATGGTTACTATAGTAACATTTTAATTCCCTGTACAAGCGTCCACTTCCATTTTCATCCCTTAATTCGTTGTTTCTCGGGATAAAATATAGCCTATGCCATTTTATAGAAAATACTAATGAATTTACACATTGCAGTTTGTCACTTTTTATGGTGATTACGACTGGAGGTTCTCAGTTGAGTTCGAATACGTTGGTCTAATGATGGAGCCGGAGGAGTAGTTATGGAATCTTTGTAGTTAAAAGAATCACGACCACGTTTGGACTTGTTAGATTTATTGTGAGAAGGATTTTGCTCTGAGACAATGTACACAGTATTATAAATATCACCGGATATATATATCAATTTATATTTATTGTTAGTTTGAGTATCGAGTCATAGCTAGAAAATTAGGTGACACTGGCAACATTGGTCGGTACTAGCAATCTTATTTACTAGAAATATCAGGTTTACCCCTATACTTTATAATTATATTATAATAAAGAAACAAATATTAAATGAAAGAATTTTGATATTTATTATAAACTAGCATTCGCCAGCGGCTTCGCCCGCGTGGACCCTAGGGAAATGTTTAGTGGGATAAAAAGTATCCCATTATCTAAGTCAGCTAACACCCTATCTGTATACCAAATTTACATCAAAATCCGTTCAGTAGTTTCGGAGTGATTGACGTACAAACATCCAAACAAAGAAACTTTCACATTTATAATATTAATAGGATATCGGTATTTTGCGAACCCTACTGCTGACTATATGTGACCACTGACCTCTGTATGACGATGTCGTCCTTAGTGATCACGTGTGCGGGACACTTGACGCCGCTGACGTAGTCGACGCAGCGCCACTGGCGCGTGTTATTGCGGTTCGTGTGCTTCAAGTAGTACAGGAATCTGTTCAGTATCATCTGTAACGAGCCCTGGTTGGATACTGTGTACTGCATCACTCGCACGTCTATGAATATAACAGTTGTTTGTTTTGATAAAGTTATGTTATATTGATTTTTAGGCCTGGATGTAGTAATAAAAAAAATGAAAGATTTTTTTTTTCTACAATGAATGTAAAAATAACACTGATTCTCTTTTCTTTTCTTATTTTTTCACATTACATTGAAAAGAATACATGGATATTCAATATTTTATTAATATAGCAACTGGGTATTTAATTAATATATTAATAATTTACATATTAATTGTTTATTTAAGCAATAAACTTTTCAATATTACACTGTTAGAAGTTGATAATGCACCCAATCATCCTGTGTAAGCCAAAAGATGTCCTGAATAAGTAATAAAAAACATGGTATAAATCAAGTGTTTTCAATGAGCTTATTTCAAAACCGAACATTTGACATTATGTACTAGTGCCATCATCAGTACTCTCTGTTTACTTATATTCAAATATTTACTTCTAATATATTTAAAATTAAATCTTACTTTTTGTATCAATAGGTTTAGCCGACGTCTCAATACTATTGTGTGCCACATCTTGACTAAAACTTAAATTCTCATCATTTTCTAAAGATTCTTCAGCTATATCGTCATCATACACATTTTGGACCATTATTCGAATATCTTTGGTATCACCAGATACGCTGGAATAAATAAAATATATTCTGTTACTTCTAAAATAAATTACAGTAGCAAGTGGTGCAAATAAATTATTAAAACTCAAAATCATTTAATTTAAATAACAAATCTAACTAAAATGTTCCGTGAAATCATCCAAAGTTAAGTAGAATACCATTAAGATTTTTTAGGTTTAATATTGACATACATCCAGTTTCTGAATAGAGAATTTTAAGTTAAGCATTTCTCAAACCATACTTAAACAATCTTAAATGTCATTTGTTTCAGACATTTTTTTTAAAATGATCAGTTAATAGCAGTTTGATAAAATTAAGACTTTACTCGATTTAATTTGAGTGTTTAGTACAATAAAATATCTTCTTTAATATGATATTAATGAACTCACATTGTATTTTCAAAGTCTAATTCTGTCTGGTCTTCATCCATGCTTTGACTGGGTACCTCAAAATAACACACTTCATTGATATCATCAGCAACAGTATCCTCAGTACTTCCAACTTTATGTGATTGTGATTTCTGTAAAGTAAATATACCCATAAAAACCTTGAGTAAATAGGATAAAAAAGATTTTTACTTCTTAAAAAATTCTCCAGAATTCCATACCATGTTTTCTAAGCCTTGTATGTGCAACTCTCTTCCAGCTTCAATGAATTCATCAAAGTTTTCTAAAGTCAATAATACTTCTCCAGTATATATGTATTCTAATATTGAGCATAATGTTGCATTTGATATTTTCTGAAATATATACAAAACCAAATTTTTATTTTCCAGTGAAATAAGACTTTGTGATCAACCAACATTCACAAACTTAGTATAAGGATTTTGTAATGTTTTGGACATTTATCTTAACATTGTTTACAGGATTTCATATAGAACAGCTATTGACTTTCACAATAATTGCTAGACAAGCTATTCAGGAATTAAAATTGTGGCACAGCTTAGTTATGTATTATCTTAACTACATAGAGCAGGTGAGGAGAAATTCTACTAACGCAATAGCAAGAAAACCTTTAGGTATACCCAATAACTACCAATATTTCTGTAGCATGTTTATTACAGAACTGTACATAAGTTCTTAGAAGAGCAGATAAATATCTCGAGCTTGTCTCAAACATTTACTTACATTAAGAAATATGATGGGATGAGGGCAATTTGCTGAGGAGATCAACTGTTTGATAAAAGGACTAGCAAGCGCCATAACCACCTGATGTACTTTCACAAAATGCCCATCCGCCGCCAAAGTCATGTCAACAAATTCTCCATTCTAGTTACAAACCATAATATTACTATATCACTTAAATTAACCAACACTTATTTTTGGAGAAACAGAATGTTTTTTACCTGCTGAAGGCTGCTCAAACCATTACAGATATTTTTTTTGTATTGACTCCACGCTAATGCGAATTGTGCTTGATTCATTTTGTAGTCTTTAATATTTTTGTCAACAAGTTTCTCGTGTATAATGCTTTCTATACAGTTTATTAGTTAAAATAAGTTTCTTCATGTAGTTACACAAAAACAATATAGTGCTGTCAACTTAAGTTTAGTGATGCGACTCGAGTCCTGTTTTTACGTGAGTCACTCGAGTGAATTTCTCAAACTCGTTTTTAAGTGAGCTAGTTAATTTACGGAATAGGTCTACCAGAATCTCATGGCAGTTAAAAAAATATGAATTTCATATTGCAACACTCGTGTCATCCGTCAATCATTAATTCACTAGGTTGTCATTCGTTGCTTAAATTTTGTTGTTGTCGTAAATATTTCGTTATTTTATGAGAAAATGTCGAAAAACCTCTTAACTCTCAAGCGAGGAATATTGTTTTCAATGTCTACAATAAAATTCGCGAGGAAGTAGGTGAAAATCAAACATAATCTTCGATTTTAAAGCGCGTCATAGCTTTAACCGGTAAGTTGAACTGAGTAGTATTGATACATTATATATTTTTTATAACATTAACTTATATCATTATCTATTAAATAGATTTTGATAAATTATACGTTCTTGATTTCTTCATGACAACCCTTCCGGTTTTCTTTCATGTATAAAAGTAAATTAGTTTTCAAAACTCAATAAATAACTCATATTCTATTTATACTTTTTCGTGTTTGTATTGATATCTGAGTTTCAAACTTTGCAAATTTGAGTTTTTTAATATGTCAGTAAAAAGGAACGGAAATTACTGTCTTTGGTTCATTCGTTTCCTGTAAAAATCTACTTTTGCTAGAGTCGCCATTTAGTGGAGGTTTTAAGCGCTTTCCATTTTTAAATACTTCCTCATTATATTAAATATCAATTACTGTATAACAGTTACAACAATACACTTATTTCAGAGAGCTGGCACAGGTTTTTATCAATGTTTGAATTCCTGTCCTCTACTATAATTTTAAACTTCTATGTCTATTGTGCTACTCGACTCAACAAAAACATTGATAAAAAGAAAATATTATTAATTTTAAGTAGATTTTAAGAACAAAACTTCAAATAGAAATAAAAATAATTATCGACACTGTATTTCGTCTCATTCATTTTTACTTTGTATAAGTGAATAAACGAAAAGTTTGAAGAGGACCCCAACACTTTGAGTCAGTAATACCATAGAATTCGCAAAACATTTTTCCCTCTGAAACTAGATTTCCCCCGTTTTGAAAATTCCCCTAGATATAGCGACAAAGTGGCCCAGAACGGTAACATTCAGTTGAAATCGCTCTAACTCGGTTTTGAATACTTCCGCAATGGTATATAAAATTAAATGACTAATGAATAAATGCCATACTGTTATGCTGAATGTGAGTATAATTTTTTACGATATTTGGTAATTGGATAGAGTATATGGTCAGTTGCACAAACGTCCATTAGGGTTTAATGAATTTACCAAAATTTCAGAAATATCGATATGTACTTACATTAATTGAAGTGTTTTATCTTTGGATTCCCTTCGCCTTCTACAAATATAAAACTTTTTGGTTGCTGTCAAACAAAGAGCAAGCAAAATAGCAAGAAGTGTGGTACAAACTAGTATAATACTACTATACTCCAAGAGCCGTTAGCCTTGCAAAGTGGTTGTAATTAATGGTGTTGAGAATCGATTACCACTATATAATCGATTTTTCAAATAATCATTTGTTATCGATTATGATTTCCTAATCGACGATTAACAATCGATTATTTCTTAATACGTTAGCAATACGTTAAAACGTTAGTATAGTACCTACTTACTTTACTTCGATGGCTCAGCAACCCATAGCGGATCGCGAGTGTGAATATTATTAGTAGATAATCTATTACTTATTATTGCAACCCTGAAATACTCCCACGAACAAATAGGTAACTATACTCTTTGGTCGGGGAACTCACGATGAATGAATGAACGGATCTTACAGTTTTATTTTAACAAATACAAATTAACTATTTCTTACTAAATGCAAATGTAAGTATACACAGCACATACCTATACTAAAATAATATTTTTACATTTTTTATCTGTTTGTTCCAGCTAAACTCTGAAACGGTAAGACCAATTTTGACGGGACTTTCACTGGCAGATAGCTTATGTAATAAGTGGTGGTTACAGCTAGTTCAATTTTATAAATTTTATCATGCACAATGCTAGTATTGAAAATATTGTCTTAAAATTGATTTTCATTAACTTGGGTGGTTTTAAAATACGGTGAAATTATTCTGAAATCATAAATAGTAATTATTATTCAATAAAATATTTACTAATGGATTTTATATTTCTCTATTTATTTTCTATCTATAAAATATAATATTTAGGATGGTTTTAACTGATTTTCATTGAAATTTAATCCTGGTTAGTTGCAGTTCCGTGTTTGCACTCACTCTTGGTTGCAACTGAAAATCAGCGATTTGCTCGCATTGTATGCGCGTGAATACTTGACGCTGAGCTGGGATCATTGTCTACTGCTGTGACGCTTACACACATTTCTTTTTTTTTCGAATGGTCATTTGTCTCATCTACATACTTATTTATTTATTTTTCTGTTGAATGAAATGTAATGTGTGTGTTTATTTTGGTAAGAAATAAATCATTTATCTATCTATCTAAATAAACTTTTGGGGTAAAAATATTTAATAATTATTGAGATGAATGAATTATTAATCGATTACGAGTAAAACTATAATCGATGTGTAATAATCGAATCGGCACATCATTAGTTGTAATATTTGTGTTTTATAGATTTGAATTTGTTTTTGTTTTTTATTTTGAGTCAATGAATTGACGGTGTTTAGTTCGGTATTGGTTCGGTATATTATATAGAGCTATCAAAGTTAGCTAGAGATTACCGAATAAAATATATTTGCTATAAATGTTAACTTAAATTATATAGACCTGACCAATTTAGAAGACTGTGCTTTGAAATATTGCTACCTAAACATTGGTTAAATATAGTTTGGCTAAATGATTAAAGAGCTTAGAGCAAGGAATGCCATACTCTAAGTAGAACAGTCCATAGAAATTGAATTGAACCAAAACATGTCTCAACCACAGCTTTTATTATCATGTAAATCTTTTGGAAATAATATTTTTGAGGGGTTGAGTTCCTTTCAACAAGTAAGTGTTTATTGTGAGTATCAGTAACACCATAGAAAATTATCGGAATAATGTTTTTTGTCGTTTCCCATTTCAGAAGGAAGAATTTGTTGATTTGACCTTGGCAGCCGATGGGCACTTTGTTAAAGTTCATCAGATGGTCCTCTCGTTGGCTAGCCCATATTTAAAGGAGCTCATAAAATCAGCACCATGTCCTCATCCCATTTTATTTTTGAATGCAAGTATTTTTTATTTTTATGGATAACAAATTTTCACACTTTCTGTTACATACCCTTTCTTATAAACCCTGTTCTAACATATTATCATAATAAATTTAAATGATTATATATTGAAACGCTAATCTATATAAATTTATATAATTTAATACTGACTAGCTACTCCAGTGTTTGCTTAATCCTACATCAAACTGTTCACAGTTAAGGAATATTAAATTGAGCATTATTTGTTAACATAATGTTGGATAGTTCTTTTTAATTTAAAAATGACAATTACAGCAAATATCATACCAAACACTATGTGCCATATTGGAATACATCTATTCTGGTGAGGTGATAGTAAATAAAAATGACATTGGTGAACTGATACAGGCTGCTAAAGCTCTGCATATTACAGGGTTAGAATTCATGGTAAATATGTTTTATAATTATCAAGACTTTACACTGCATGTTGTCATCATTACATAAATATGTAATGTTATAACATTACATATTTATGTAATGCTTATATTTACAGGATTGGACCACCGTTCAAGTAGTTGGTGATGGAGAAAGTAATAACAGTGTCCTTGGCACTAATGATATGAATGTGAGTGACGAAACTGTGAGTAATTCAATTCACTCATTAATTTTTATCAGAAAAATATTGCTAGTATAGATTCATCTGATGTTTTATATAATGTCAAATTTTTGTTATTATACTTTTTCAACAATATCTAATAGGCTGCAGTTGTATTGAAAACCTTTTAATGTTAAACTATTAAGATCAACTTATTTTCGTGTTAGAAGAAACTTTTAATATTAAATTTTCAGAGTGCTTTTGATACTGTGCCTAGTCATAATGACAATGGTAATGAGCAGCAATGGTCTCAAGCTTTACATATGTAAGTCTAACAAGTTACATAGCATAAAAATGTTTAAGTCATAGCCAATAGGGATGAAGACAACTTTTTTATATCATTTATGTAATAGGTTTAAATCTAAAAATAAATTTTTATTTTCAAAATCTCTCCTGAAAACATCACATATATCAACAAAAAGAAACTAGCGCCATAGCCAAGGAGAAATATATTAAATTAACATTTCAACTATTTTATTCAGCCGTCCTATCGAAATATAACCGTGGTAGTAGAGAAATATATGAATATTACAAAGCTTGTCCAATGTTTTCTAGAAACGTAGATATGCAATTAAATGGTGCCGTTCAATTATAGGGCTTTTTTTATAATTGGTTTCAACATGTTAATTTCATTTGTCAGAACTTGCATTTTCTTAGTGAATTCCATTTAGCTGACTGTGTGGATTGCTATATTGCTTCAGTTAAATTTATATTCTACAATTGGGCTTTTATAATATAAAAGTAGCTCAAAAAGCAACATATTTTTTCTACAGAATAAAGAAATCGTCTAGACATAACAACAAACAAGATACAACTATATCAACAGAGTCAAATATTTCACAAATAGATATGGGTAACACATTTGATGAAAGTATAGATATACAAGGTGATGTGGGGGTCAACAAATGTGATAATATTTCAGGTAAGTGTCATACCTAGTTACATTCTCTTATAATAAAGAATAGCAATTATTTTTTATGATACAAACGAATTATTCATAAAAAGTCTTGTAGGCTAAGAAAAGCAGTTTTCCAACATTTTCGCCAAACTCAGATGATCTGAGTGATCAAACTAAACTATTGCTAAACTAGATTTTTTGACCATATCTGGCAGGAACAAAAATAGAATCTATGTTTATTCTCTAATTGATTATGAGGGTTTAAAAAGAGCATTTATTGCACATCAAAAATGTAGATATTGCAGATCAGTATACAGGTCTAATGGATATTTTAAATTTAATTTAGTATATTACAAAGTATCATTATTTTAATTACAGGTGTCAGTGAGAATCCTTCTATTCTATACACTCTTTCTAACCAAGGAAACATACAAATGATATTGAATCGCTATATATATAATATAAGATATGTTTCTAGAAAAAAAGGTCCTCCAACCAGACTATGGAGATGTGTTGACTATGTAAAGGGTAAATGTAGAGCCTCGGTCACTACTAAAGATGATATTGTAGTACAAAGGTAAAACACCCGGACAGCTTGTCTGCTTGCGTTTTCTGAAGTTTTTGTTTTGATTTTAGCTTGCAGTGATGACGTTTTTATACGATTGATACGATACGATTTATGTATTAAACTAGGTAGTTAAGGCAGGTGCCTTAACAATATAATAATAATAATATAATGTATTCATCAAATATCACTGATGTTCATTTATTACAGACTGATAAATTAATGACTTTTAGAGCCAAAAAAATATTTTATTGCATTATCTAATTCTGGAATACCTTTAATTATGCTAGGAATCGGTATAAATGTCACTATATTCTTGATAATATTTCTTCCTCATCTTCTGAATGAGTCTTTCTTCTGATGTCTGGAAGTTTCTAGGAACTTTAGGCATAGGCAAATCGCAGCATGTAGACCCATTTCTATTGAATATTTATCTCAATCGTCATTTCTTCGCTTCTTCGAAGTTGGATAGCATTACACCTGCATCTACATAATTCGCTGTATGATTTTTAACATCCTGGACCACCTTCTCCCTGTTATATGTTATATCGTTAACTTTTCTCTTTCTCCTTGCACTTTCCATGCCTTTTGACACAAAGCCTACGTTCTACCTCCCAAAAGTTCTTCTAGTTTGCTCTTCTCATCACTCTGATATCATCCACTCCTCATTTTTCGTTGAGGCAATTCTTCTATGGAACGCACTACCCTCGAGACATCAGAATGTCTCTCAATCGGTTAGCTTTTAAAACAAAGTTGCGTGATTTATCCTGAAATAGGCAAATTCATGAAATCTCGTGTCTAATACCTATGTATGTATGTTTTATTGTGTATCTATCTAATTTATTGATCTATGTATTTATATTTGTACACATTTGTGTATTTAAACCTCTTTTGTATATATTAAGTGCAGTGGCGTAACTACATGATGGCAAATCGGCAAAATGCAACGCTCCTTACTCCTGAACTTTATTTCGTATTTGTATTGATATCTAAGTTTCGAAGTTTGCAAATTTCAGTTTATTAATATGTTTGTTAAAAGGAATGGAAATGACTATATTTGGTCCATTCGTTTCCTGCAAAAATCAAGTTTTGCTAGAGTCACCTTCTAGTGGAGGTGCTTTTTAGTGCTTACTTTTTTTAAATACTTCCTCTTCCGTATAAGTGAATCGGTGACTGGCAGAGTAGGCTTAAGGCATTAAGTCCGCCTTAGTACATAATTGCATAAAGTATTAAATAAAATTTAAAAAAATATATAAGGATGTTAAATGACTCAAATTTTTGATTTTAAATTTATCCGAATGAATCAAGATTTATTAAATTTATGTAGAGAAATTTTAGTTTTGTATATCGTGTCAATTGTTTTCGTATATTTCTACAAAATTATATTTCGTTAATATTATTTGTAGGGTAGCTGCACACACACATTCATTTCATGATAACAGGATACTGAAAAAAATGGCATCTGGTATGGTGCTCTCTGCTATAAAGGAAGCAGAAGAAAAATGCAGAATCATGAAGAATGACAGAGGTGCTAATGATAGTGAAGATACTGATGAGATCAACGTTGAGACGTCAAAAAGTATAGATCAGGAAAACTTGGATGAAGAATGGATATAATAAAAAAATACATTTATCAATTCAAGTATTATTCTTATTTGAATATCACTATGCCTGTCGATTGTTGTTACAATATATCGATCCTAAGATAATTCTATTAAGAGCAAATGTAAGTCTGTCCAATTTGGCAGCAATCATGTCTATATGGGCCTTTCATTTACCAAATCATTGATATTTGTATATAGCATTTGTACAATATAAAAGTGGTCCAAGTACACTACCCTGGGGAACGCTACAATGATTTAGAGTATATTTAGAAGTATACGATTTTCTAAAATTACCTTGCTTTTTGAATTTTTTTGACACACTGTATGCGGTTGCTTAGATAACTGCATCCTAACTAACATATTAAAAAACTGAAATTAGCTAAGTTCGAAAATTAGAAATCAATACGAATACGACAAAGTACAAATAGAATAAGAGTTGTTAATTCAGTTTTGAATACTAATTTACTTTTTTACATGAAATAAAACCGTAAAGGTTGTCATGGAGAAATCAAGAAAGTACCGTAGCAACTTCTAGTTTGATTTCGGGAACTAATGTTATTTTTTTAAATACTTATTAACCTCTCGTCTGTGAACGCATCTTGTGATATAATAAATTAAGTTGGTGTCTGTGAGGAGTCCTGTTACAGGACGCGGTTATAGTGTTGAAATAAGGCCCGAAATTGAGCAAGGTGCTCAATTTCGGGCCTTATTTCAACGTAACTAAAGATTTTATTCCTTTGTAAAGGTGAAGAATCGTTTAGGAATGAATTGGCTTTCCATCTTGCATATAATTTAGGACAACTATAGTACAAAAAAAGTTGGAAATCAATGTTTCGGTGATGGGTTCCTGTCATGGGATCCACACAACCGCCATAATTGCTTTTTTGAAAATGTGTCCTGTCACAGACTAGAGGATAAAGTACTTACATAACATAAAATCTTAGATTTGGAATAACTCGTATCAACGCAGCCACGGGATTTGATGAACGAGTTTTCAGATCATTATTTCACTTTTTGAGGAAAAACGTTAATTTGACGGGGCACAAGGCTTTATTAAACATAGGATAGATTAATTAAGTGATTGACGAAACATATCGATTCCTCACAACACTACTCTTAACTATTCTATTCTTTAATAACAATGATTTTGGTCCTTGTACCAAACAATTCACTGTCAAGTGTCAATGTCAACGTCAATATCTGTTTTCTATAAGTTTTTTAGGGCTGATAAATAAATAAATCATAGAAGTAGAAGCGCCAGCAAGAACGTGAATTGAATTGTCGATTTGGTTAATTCAGAGAGAATTTAACCATTAAAACAATTTCATATTAAGGTTTAATTGTATTGCAGACTACTGTACTGTAATCATGACTCAAACAAAGCTTTCATTGGCATGGCAATCATTTAGGAATAATATTTGCGAGGGTTTGAGTTCCTTCCAGCAGGTCAGTAAATTCACTTAATCATAAAATAGAATAGGAGCCAAAATAAATATAGTAAAATGTTATAAAAAGACTAATGTTAGACAGTTTTGATATTCAGAGAGAAGAGTTTGTTGATATGACTCTGGCGGCGGATGGTCACCTTGTAAAAGTTCATCAGATGGTCCTCTCGCTGGCCAGCCCATACCTTAAGGAACTCATAAAATCAGCACCTTGTCCTCACCCCATTTTGTTTTTAAATGTAAGTAATATTGTTTGTACCATTTAATTTCTATCTAATTATTGTCTTTGGAAACTAATTCTGTTAGCTATTTGAAGTTCCTTCTTATTAAGTAGTATAACATAGGCAACTTAAGTTTTAGCTCAATTATAACCTTTGTTCACATAACATTTTAGGTTCTACATATGTACTGTTGGAGCTCAATAACCATTATTTTTTAATAGCTTCTGTATTGTTTTACAAAATAATTAAAAAAAAAAATTATGTTTTAGCTTGTTCACATAAATTTGAATTATATTTTAAATAATTCTATTACTGGTATAAGGGTCCATATATTAAGGCCCTTAATAGGTTATTTTAATATTTCTTAAGGTTGAATATCTATATATGTGTATTACAGCAAATATCATACCCAATACTATGTTCTATACTGGAGTACATTTATTCTGGTGAAGTGGTTGTAAATAAAGATGACATTGGTGAACTAATTCAGGCTGGGAAGGCTTTGCATATCAAGGGATTTGAAGTTATGGTAAGAAAATAATTTTAGAACTTGTTGAACTGAAGTGTTATTTATTAATTACAAGTCTTCAGTTTGTTTTTAATTGACAAATATTTATTAAGAATTAATTGGAAAAACATTAACTTGACATTGAAATTAAGTTGTCTGCCAATATAGGGTCGATGCTTATCTATGGTAATTTCACGACTTACATTTGGGCTATTTCTCTTTATTTTGTAAAATTGTTGTTAGCATTTTATATTCAAAAAGTATTCTAATATCAGAGCTGTGTTGTTATTTAAAATTAAACATCCAATGTAACATTAAAGGACTTCGTTCATATACATAACTATTTAAACAATTTTTAGAGCAACCTCATATATTTTTATGTGATCTGTCCATGGAGTTCCACAGAAGCATTAATTTTCAGGATTTGAATAACACTGAAAGAGGTGATGGGGATACTGACCAAATGATCCCAAGTTCAGATGCTAATGATCTGGATGTGCTTGTGAGTTGTTACTTGCCTGTTTTTTAATATGGTCAGTTATTTCAACTTTGTGTATTTTAATAATTTGCTTTGACAAATCAATTATTTTTGCAGCCTTCATCTGTCACAATTGCTAGGAAAAGAAAATTCAATGATGATCCTATTTGGACTGAAACTGTTGATATGTAAGTTGATTATGAAAATAGGATAATGTTTATATTTTCTGCATACCATTGAGTATTGTTAATAGTACATATTTTTAGAAAATATAAAATAAATTCAAACTTAAATGTGTGAGTGCATAACTGGCAAGAGCTTTGGAAGACTACACAAACATTTGGAATAATTTACATTTTTTCATGACCTAGTAGTATGTCCTGTTGATTGTCTTTAGTTCACTATATGAAGTTGGTAACTTTCTTTTATTATTCTGACATTTTATTTCAAAAAATAATAAGATAAGTAATTACTGATAATTGAATGTATTATCTAGTAATAAAAATAAAATTTGCATGCTATTTGAATTATTATATGCTTTTAAGTCCTAATTACATCCAATTGTACCCTATTTTAATATAAAAAATAATGATTTGCTTTTTCTTATTTTTATATGTTACAGAGACAAAGGAGATCATAATAATACAGTGATTATACCACAAACAAATATGGATGAAGACTACTTAGATTCAACAGGACTCGACGAGAGTTTCGAGGATCACACGCAAGATAGGAAGGAAGTCCCGCTTAGAGCTAGTATTATAAAAAGCAGTTGGTATTCATGTTTCGAAGTTTACTATTAGGGTTGGCACACATACAAGTGTTCTCTTACCTACAGCTTTTGCATGTAACTAAATTTACAGAGATGAGAATTACATCAGTCAGTGAGCAATTCGAGAATTAAATTGGTGTAGAGAACTGAGCATACAATACAACTTGTAACATTTGACATATAAAATTACTGGCGAATGCACTAGGTCAGGCAAAAAGCAGTGCAAAAAAATTTTCAGTATCAAAGTGTGACTTTACAGATGTTAAAATAAGATCTAAATTAATTAAATATAATAAAACAGGGTGCAGATTTACGTTGGGTATAAAAATAAAATAGTAAGTGAGGCGTAATTTACGCGGCCATCTATGTGTGAGATAAGTGTAGCAAGCGTATCCTACCGCGCGTGGGATACGCTTGCTCGGGGATGTGCTCGCTCAACACAAGGATTTGGATTTGTTTGCTGATGGTATGGGCCGATTGTTATCATCGGCTAGACAGATCCTAGATTCTTTATAAATTAAGTAATCCTTAGCATTGATTTATATTATTGTTGGACATTTATCTACCACGTACTTTAATTCCTGTTTTTTTTTTAAATTACATAAATTAATATTTTGATTATTTTTTCACAATTTGACATTGTTTATTTATTGGTTGTAAATCTGACGTAATTCAATATCAGTACAAATAATTTTTTTTTTTTACTTGTAAAAATTGAAATTATTATGACAAATGTATAATGAGCCAGTGTGATAGAGTATTCTGTAAGCTGGTGCATGATTGAGTAATAAATAAATAAATAAATAAATAAGGATAGAGGATGGCGTGTTGCACATCAAAAACTATTTTTAATTAAATTAAATGTTCTCGATAATAGAGCATGCAACGCGGTATTTCGGTTACCCGAATAACCCAGTTAACCACCCGATTTGAAAACCGAAAAATAACTGTTTTTTTACTCAAGCGAAACCGGTTATTTCGGTTTTTCTTTGGTAATTGAAAAGCTATGTTATTTTTTTCATGTTAAAATAAGTAAAAAGTATTTTTTGTAGTTTTTATGTATTAACAGTTAATACATAATTTGTGATTTATTTTGCAACAGAAACATATTTCACAATATGAAATTAATATAATAATATTTAATCTTCTTTGTCCTAATTAGTTATTGCATAAAGTTTGTATTATTGTTGTATTTATACTGATTTGATTTAATGAACGGTTAGCATGAATGGGCCGGCTCGACCGGCGTGATACCACGGCCTCACAGAAAACCGACGTGAAGCAACGCTTGCGTTGTGTTTCATCGTGTGAGTGAGGGTACCGGAGGCCCAACCCCTCCCTATCCCCTTCCCTCTACCCCTTAACCCTTCCCTTCCTATAATCATATTCGTCCCTGAAAGGCGTGCAGCGCGCTTGTAGCCCCTCTGGTGTTGCAGGTGTCCATGGGCGACCGTTATCACTTACCATCAGGTGATCCGTCTGCTCGTCTGCCCCCTATAAAAAAAAGCATATAATTATTTTCTTTTGTTAAAAATATGTTCAATTAGATATATTTAAGATATGTATTTTTTAATTACACCTTATTTAAAATGTCATTTCTTGAGATAAAACCGATTGAAAGATGGCGAAAGATACCAATTGAACATATGATAAAACTATTATTTGAAAATTCGTTAAAATGGATGCGCTGCTTTTTGTCCAGCAATAAAAATATTCCAATAGTTTATTGAGAAATGCGAATTGATTTGACAGGCTATTTATAAATAACTTATGCGTCATAATCTAGAGAGTTGTAATGCGTCGCATTGAAGCGACAGAGACTTAAATCTGTCAGTTTCAATCTTAATTATTTAAATCTAATAAAATCCTCAAGAGGAATGATTTGTTTGTTTGCATCAAACGGACTTCGTGACTAATGGACCGATTAAAAAAAAGTCACCTACCGGTACAGCATACGGGGTTGTCATAGGCTGTAAATTCACGCGTGCGGAGTCTTGCGACAACAGCTGATAGCAAATAAATCTAATCTTCTTTTTATGGAATTTTACACACAAATTAATAATAAAAATTAATACCTGATGCTTAGAACACTCAGTTTTAATATATTTATTTATATACTCTTTATTGCACAAAAAACAAAGTCAACATTACAATTGTATGTAAATCACAAGCAAGGGTGGGCTTATCTCTATAAGAGATCTCTTCCAGCCAACCAGGCGGTGTGGGAGATCAAGCAGTAACGGGAGACTGACAAGTGCATAATTGTTAAATTTGATGTGAATGAATATTAACATTAATACATATAGGCATGATATAAAAAAAAAACAATAAAAAAAATAAGAATACATAAATAAACAATATTATATAATACATATATAAATAAAAATAATAATGATTACAAAAAACTATGAATACTAACATTGTGCTAGAAAGTGCTCCTTGAGTTTAGTTTTGAAAGATGTGATAGAGGGGCAGTCTCGAATATCGGCTTTAAAAGCCGATCACTGTTCCACTGCTGGGGCACAGATCTTTCCTATTACGATGCCGACACGGTTATTGGTGTCAATATAAAATTTAATATTTGAAATGTGCAATTTTTCTTTGCAAAGATATATTTTGTAAATGCAAAGTAAAATTAACGTTATATTTTTATTAATTTCGCATTCACAATGCCATACTGAAAATTATTCTTAATACAAAATGCTTAAAACTCCACTTGGTTCCTGGCACCCCGAGATATCTCATTTTGTATTTTTCATCTTTATCGAAAGTTTCAATATTTGTAACATTTTTTCTTTCGGCTGTTTGGGTGGATGCCTGAACATTGATGAGATACGCTCTGTAGTAGCGAAAACTAACAATTGCTTGAAAGATTCGTCAGTCCTGTTAGGTCCTGTGTAGCTCAGTGGTTAGAGCAGTCGCCCGGATTGCGAAAGGTCGTGGGTTCGATTCCCATCTCAGGGTGCCAGGGACCAAGTGGATATTTTAAGCATTTTGTATTAAGAATTAAATTAACGTTATTTCTAAAAGAAATTTTAATTTAGGTACCTTGTGTTAATTTCAGATGTACCAAGTGGTCCCACTGTACAGTACACTCTTTCGAACCAAGGTAACCTGCAGATAATATTGAATCGGTACATGTATAATTTGGCATATGTTTACAAGAACACCTCTCCTCCGGCCAGATTATGGAAATGTGTTGACGTGAAGAGTAAAAAATGTAAAGCTTCCGTCACCACCAAAGATGATGTTGTAGTACAAAGGTATGTCACTATAATGTTATATTAGAGCAGACAAATTAGGCGTCATCCGTTAGACATCCTCGGTTAGATAGATTGCAGCCTCCCTAGAATAATATTACTTTATTGAAATGATATGAAATGAAAATGTCTTTTTCATCTAGACTCGAGTACAGCATATTAAACAGGGTTCACAAAAATCTGATATTTATATAATAAACATCAAAATATCCGTATGTCATATCATATATAATTGGATAATATATAAAATATATATAAATATAAATATAATAAATTATTAGAACAAATTCTCATCTTTATCGAAAGTTGAAATATTTGTAATAATAGTTCTTTCGGCTGTTTGGGTAGATTGCCTAAACATTGATGAGAATACGCTCTGTAGTAGCGAAAAAGTAACAAGAGCTTGAAAGATTCGTCAGTCCTGTTAGGTCCTGGGTAGCTCAGTGGTTAGAGCAGTCGCCCGGATTGCGAAAGGTCGTGGGTTCGATTCCCATCTCAGGGTGCCAGGGACCAAGTGCATTTTTTTAAGCATTTTGTATTAAGAATATAAAGGGAATGGACCCTAAAGACTAAAATGTTAAGAACCAAAGACCTACACAGAGATTTTTTTACGAATTCGTTCGATCGTGAATGCGTTACGTTTTTTAAATGGAATGGAAACTGACTCAGCGCTTCTAGTGGCAACAATTAAGAAATACAAATTTGCATATAAATTAATGAGTATTAAACTCGTACTTTATCCAGACCACTGTCTTCCCTGTTATTAATTATGATAAAGATTTAAAATGGTTTAACTATTTTTCTCCATAAGAATATCCCAGGATATTTGAAAAAGCCGAATCGTTTTTTTGAGTTTTGAGCTTAAACAATTCATTTTTATTTATGCAGATTATATCGTTTTCAGGGTAGGCGCTCACAAACACCCATTTCACGACAAGAAAATCTTAAGGAAAGTTGAAAATAATATTGTACGTACAGCGATCAAGGATGCAGAGAACATGCAAAATAGAACAGACGACACTGACGGACATACAAAAAGATTATCCAGTGAGAGTCAGTGAACTAGCGACGGAATGAAATATTGTTGTGACATAAACTCGAGATGATTTTAAACAATGTACTTTTTAAAGAACTTTTAGTATCACGAATGATTTATGTGAAATAAAAATTGGTGTACATAAATAGGATTTTAAAATAAAATTGTTGTTGTGAATTGTTTTATCATTAATTTCTAATCAAATCATTTATAGGCCATTAACTCGGAAAGTTACACTCGACAAGTCTTTTACAATAAGCATTTCAAATTAAATACAAAGGTCTAAGTCATGCAAGTCAAATCATTATAGGAATGTCAAAGAAATTAAGTATTTTAATAATGTCAAGTTGGTTATTTTTACAATTTAAAATAATCAATAAAAAATCTTACTAAAACCCACTCTGTTCCTGGCGCTCTGAGATGGGACCTTTCGCTGGTTCATGTACTATTTCAGAGAAGTGGATTTTTTAAGCATTTTTTATTAAGAATATTTTTTAGTATAGCATTGTGAATGCAACATTGATCTAATATTATAAAAATAATATAGTTAAGAAGATTATTATGTATGGCAGCATAAATACTAACCCTCAGCGTAATAGAAAAAAAGTTTCAACTGCTTTCGTGATTTCATTTATAAGCCATGGGAAGAAGGTTCCAGTATGATAGACGAGAGAAAGGAAGCGGATAACTTATTCTTGCAATAAATACGGCAGCTTAGCGACGAGCGAATAATGATTATTATTAAACCTACATGGATTTGTAACAGGAACACTGTTTATTTATATAAAATTGTTTTTAAAAATCATCATGACTGTCACTTTACTATTTGCTTTACATGGTATGTTGAAAGCTACTAATATAATTTTTAAAAACCTTATATAAATATTTTATTTATCTTTATTACAACAAAAAATTTAGTATTATGGATTTGACAGCAATGCTTGTCGAAATCGTCATTAATTCAAATTTACAACATTTAATAGAGATTAAAGTCGTCATTAAACCTTAATAGACGTCAAAGTAGCAAAGTACCAAATAAAATCGCTAAAATTTCATATTATCTTAATGAGGAAGTATTTAAAAAAACGAAAGCACTAAAAAAGAACCACTAGATGGCGACTCTAACAAAAGTTGATTTTTGTAGGAAACGAATGGACCAAAGACAGTCAAAGACATTCCTTTCAACTAACATTAAAAAACTGAAATTTGAAAAGTTCGAAACTAAGATATCAATAGAAATAAGAAAAATTACAAATAGAATAAGAGTTGTTTATTGACTTTTGAAAACTAATTCACTTTTAAACTTAAAGGAAAACCGGAAAGGTCGTCATGGAGAAATCAAGACCGTACCGTAGCGACATCTAGTTTCATTTCGGGAACTATTTTTTTTAAATACTTCCTCATTGCTATGTATAGTATTGGAAAGTGAAAAGATTTATTTATCAGTAAATTAAAACTTCAAACTCAAACTTAAATTAATTTATTTTATAGTAACGCCTTTTTGAGTCAAAGTATTGTCTTCATATGTTTCTAGAACATCAGCCAAGTGTTCATTATCCCTCGGTTTCTTGAACTGGCGTCGTTTCTGTGCGACCTTCTTTCGTTTGGGTGCTATAGGTTTCCTGGGGCCATGATCCTGCATAGACTTGATGCCTTGCTTCTCCAAGTATTCCTCTATCTTGGCGTCATCCATGGCATCTACTGCTGTAGCACGCCATAGTTTTACGAATTCTTCATCTACCTTTAGAAAAATAATAATTGTTAAAACATGAGGAAAATATAAACTCCAATGGTCACTTACTGACCTTTTTGTTTCTCAAGAAATGGGTACACTATTTTAATACCTATCTATACAAAATGGAATTTGAAGGCATAACTGAAATTACAATTATACGTACCAAAATTGCGAAGCGCGAGTATCCAATCAGAACCAAAGTGAACAAATATTGATTTTGACATATCGCACGTTGAGAATGACAATGTCACTAACCAAAAACGACGTATTTTTTACTTTTGGCAACATTTTTCTTTGTTAAGTATAAACTTTAAAATGCAAAGATCCCTGTAAGCGTAGTTTGCATAGAAACTGCTAGGTGGCGTACTGACGATACGTTGTTTAGGGGCTGATTACAATTTCTTGAACTTTAAACGCTCATTACTCATAATCGCTATTTTTTGCATTGTGTCACTATCGTTCTCAACGTACGATATGATAGGTTGCCATGTAAAAAATCTTAACGTTAATTTCTTTGCTGGTCAGATGGTTCTCTTTCTGAACAAACTGACATCATAAATGATATCAGTAGCCTATAACTTCTTTGTTGTTTTTTACATTTTACTTTCATACAAAAATATTATTAAATTTACTATTTGAACATTATATATTCACTTGAAGTGGTGACTTGAAAATTTGAATTTATGAATGAAACATATACCACAAAAGTTTTAAGTCATGTTTCAATGCATAGATCATATGTTACTGTTAATGAGTTAGTGGTCGGAGGTTTTCGGTATTTTATAACTGTGTACACACTTACATCTAATGTAGCAGTCTTATCATTGTAGAATAATATTTTCTTCTTGTCTGTGGGCCTCGTGATGTACAGTATCTCTTGTGCCAAACTTTTTAATGCTCTCTCACAATGTGGTAATGATTCTTGGACATCTTCCAATAGTATACCACCAAGTCCTTTCAAGTCATGTTGCTTTAACAACCTGCAACACAATTTATACTTTATTATTAAAGTTTAAGGTGGAACGTCATAATCGACTTCAGAAGATGGTGTAAAGAATTTGAAGTTTTTATTAATTTTAGACTATTAAGCTTTTTTTTTTAACCCAATTAATTAATTTAATAATGGTCTGTGGTTAGACTCAATATGATAATGTTTAAATCATTGTTTTTATAAAATTATTACTTAAGGTATTAAAATTGTTTTACATGTTGTTTTTGGTAAATCTATGTAGAAAGATAGAATTGGTAATTCAAAATTGTTTTGTTGAATGAATGTATTTTAATCGTGTAATGGTCTCCTACGTGAAGTTGGCAGTAATGTGGTGACGCAAAGTGCCATTAAAGTAAAGAAAAAGAAGAAGGTTGGGGAATTTGTTTTGCATATATTGATATGTGGGGCATCTAAGGAGTGATTATATGAGCTATAATTCTAAAAATTATTTTTTTGTTTGATAATTATTCTGATTTATACATAATAGCAAAAAAATGTTGAATAGATTTCGACATCCCACCAGTTTGCTTTTTTTTTGCTGACAAACGAGTGATTAAAAAATTAGATGAATAAAATTAAATATATTGGTTTAAGAAATGGTAAAATAGTATAGTGCTCTTATTGCTTCATTTCTTCACTGTTAATCTAATAAAATATCTTGTTTCCATTAAGTGAATCTTAAAATTACCTTAATAACGATTTCTTGTCCTTTATTTTATATACAGGCTTGAATATATATTTTCCATCTGGGGTGCAGTCTATTTTGGGGTTATTTTGTAGAGCCTCTGTCTGTAGCCACTGAAATGAATTCATTCCATTAAATTGTAATCTCCATGATCGTCACTATGTGGCTTGCATGCTGGTGCTGTAATCTTCGAGGTCCCAATTTAGATTAGTATGACATAGAAAAATTACCTTTTCTATCTTGTCTGGTCTGGGTGTAGTAGGATGTTGTTCCAAATTCCCATATTAAAAGTGATTTTGCTATTGGTTTGGGATTTGAGCAATGTATGTGATATTATCTTATATTTGTTATTACAAAAATATATTATTAAGCTTCTTTAAATACTTATTATAAAATTGCTTCCCTTTGTCTCTATGCAGAGATATTTCAAACTATACAATGGATTTTGTTGCCATTTTCATCAATACACAAAGCAATTTAAGAGGAAGGTTTATATTTATCCTGCTGGCAGAATGCTAGTTAATGAATATGGCTAAGGTTCTTAACTTATTCTGTAGATGTCAACATAACTATTGATTAAACTCAGAGTGCAAGGGACAAAGTAGATTTTATAAGTATTTTTAATATTTTTACTATATTTTTCAGTATAGCATTGTGAATGCAACATTGATCAAATGTAACTATCAATTAATTTTAATACCTGTTTCACTTTATTGCCAACATCAAGTTGATTTGTCTCATCGAGGACCTCATCTAAGGTAAGAGGGTGATCGTCACCATCTTGGTGTCTGGCTCTCATGTGTCTCACGATTCTTGCTAATACACCAAAACGGTATGCCGAACTACCAGTCATCGTTTTATAGCTGAAAATTAAAATTTCTTTAAACTACTAAATGGATTATAGTTGTGTTATGATAGCATAAAATTAAATTTTATATAGTATTAATTTATAATATTTAAATAAAGTCATGTAGCTGTTCTAATGTGCAAGATATCTTCTTGCTTCTACTTACTTGGATGCATCCAATTTTGGCCCAGAACTAGCTGAACTGGATGATTTTGATTTCTTTTTAGTGTCATCTTTGAATTGGGATTCATCTTTCTTCTTTTTCTCAACACTGAAAAATGAAACCTAGTGGGTTAGAAGAACATGACAATTGTAAATTTATTTAATAGTTTACTGATAATGTTTAGTTTACATTAAATGTTGTTAACCAATGAGAATATATTAATATCGATTCGCACAACTTTTATTAATCAAAGATAACTTTTAATTTAAAATAAGTCAAGCAACGAAAGTTTCAATAGGTTTCAATAAACATTCTTAGCTTAAATTTTGATAAATATACAATCGTCTGTATTCTCGAAGGTCATTATGTAGACCTTTATGTGTTAGAGCGAGAGAAAGTCTATAATAGTCCTTCCGTTGTTGTGCCGTGGTGCCGTAGTAAAGTGCTGTACAGGGAAGGATGTAGCTGCTTACGTCGGTGTTGAAAGTGCCTTTTTCTTAAACGCTTCTCGTTCACGTAACAGTGCTGGATCCATTTTTGTATAATTCAAATAATCATATACAAGGTAAGTAATGTTATCGTCAACTTATTTGAGAATTAGAACTATTATTTATTCGTGTTTACATTATTATCACTTTTCTCAGTTTCCTTTTGCAGTCAATTTTTGACGTTTGACCCACTTCACGTTGACATTGACTGACATTTAATAAGTGACTTTTTAATTATGTGCGATACTAGGAAAGGCAAACGGATCTATGTTTATACAACCCTGTTTAATTTTTGTAACTGTCGAGTTGACAGTGTTGCTATACTAGCAACTACCAATAAAAGCAACTCGGATTAATCTCATTGGTTACGATATTGCCGCTGCGCAAAATTAATTTAGGTGACAAAATCTGATGGCCCAATAATAAAAGAAACAATCTCGATTTTCTAATGGCAATGTTAAATTGTCAACAATGAGGAAGTATTTAAAAAGTAACATTAGTTTTCGAAATCAAACTAGATGTCGCTACGGTACTTCCTTGATTTCTCCATGACAACCCTTCCGGTTTTCTTTCATGTAAAAGTGTAAAAGTAAATTAGTTTTCAAAACTTTATAAACAACTCTTATTCTATTTGAACTTTTTCGTATTTGTATTGATATCTATTTTTTGGACTTTGCAAATTTCAGTTTTATTATATGTTAGTTAAAGGAACGGAAATGATTATCTTTGGTCCATTCGTTTCCTCCAAAATCAACTTTTGCTAGGGTCGCCATCTAGTGGAGATACTTTTTTGGTGCTTTTTTTATTTTTAAATACTTCCTCATTGGCAATGAGGAAGTATTTAAAAAAACATTAGTTTCCGATATCAAACTAGATGTCGCTACGGTACGTTCTTGATTTCTCCATTGTGGTTTTCTTTCAGGTTTAAAAGTAAATTGGTTTTCAAAACTCAATAAACAACTCATATTCTATTTGTACTTTTTCGTATTTGTATTGATATCTAATTTTCGAACTTTGCAAATTAATAGGAATTGAATTGACTGGCTTTGGTCCATTCGTTTCTTGCTAGAGAAAAATCAACTTTTGCTAGAGTCGCCATCTAGTGGTGGTGCTTTTTAGTGCTTTCGTTATTTTTTAAAATACTTTTTCATTGACAACTGTCATTTCAAAGTGTAAATAGTTGTGAATATTTATGAATTGGCAAAATTTCCGTGTATAACGGAACAATACCACATTGAAAAAAAATGAATTCATTATATCGTGTAAAATACCTTCAATAAAGTTTCATGGTTTTATCTTTGACAATGACGAACTTCCGTACAATCTATTTATCACAATAAAAGCAATTTATGTCGAGTCAACTCTGTTTAGTGAGTTAGGCGTTTGAGCGTAACTGACATATACATAGACCTTCTTTGGCGTGTACAATATTAATATGGAATAATTAAACGATTCTCATTGTCGCTCATTATATCATCAAATATTAAAATAATAGATTACCAGGCAGTTACCGAAATAAATAGACTAAGAACAATATAAATCGCTATTGCTTTGGTCCACTTTTAAATTCACAGCTGTTGAAATGAAATGAAAATATCTTTATTCAAGTAGGCGATTACAAGCACTTTTGAATCGTCCAAATTTTTTTTTCCCCTACCACTAGTTCAGGCCGTCTTTTAGCTGACAAGAAGAACAAGCGAAAGAAACTTACCAGTTTTTTTGTTAAAATGGAAATAAAAATATTTAAATATATAATGAATATGTCGTAGCCAAAACTTGATAAAAAAACATAATCGTAAATTAATAATCGTTAACTATTAAGAATAAACGCCAAGTAGTATCACCATCATCAGCCCTTTTAGGTCTCCAATGCAGGGGCTCAGGTCTTCCTTATGGATTGGTTATAGAGGATGGGCCATGACCCTCTACGCTGATTCAACGCGGATTGGAGGGCATTAATGATAGCAAATGCAGCCGGAACAACGGTATAACGTGTGTACCGAATCATGAGAAGCTTAAATAATATTCTTTTTTGTTACCCATCCCGTGGCAGACCCTTGCGAAAATTGCTTAACAACAGCGAACGCGGGCCGCGGCGCCTATCCATTACGTCACTGAGCTACTCATCAGTATGGCAAACTATAATTTTTTTTTTTCGTCTCTCAACCTTAAGGGTTCGGAACCACCCTCCCAACGGGGGAAGGAGGCGGTGAATTCTTCATTGGATACCCCACAGCCTGTGAGGTCATGTCAGACTCCTACTGTCTAAACACCGCCTTGGACAGTTGGTTGCGTGCCCTGAAGGGGCAACGAACTTTCGACCGGAGCGACCGCCCCCCCACAAGGGGGGGGGGCGCAGACGTCACTATTCACTTACATGAATTGTGACGTCGAGATGTTAGCCGTTAACCCCGGGTGGCTCGGCTCATCGGATTGGCAAACTATAAAGTTCTTACTAAATTTTATTTGAAACTCAACCTTGACCAAAACAGTGCGATCTAGAAGTATACTTAACGCCATCTAGTATAGCATAAAAATTATAGTTTGATGACTTGGTTTCTCGCACGTTTCTCGGGTCGAGAGGGAGATATAGTATTGGCGCACCCGAAAAAGGTGACATTTGAGTGTAGACAAAACGTTCTCGAGTTCGTCATGCTACGAGTGCTGGACATCTTTTATATATAAGATTATAAATACCATCCATACCTGATCACATCCTTCCTTTTCCGATAGAAATTCACGTGTTCCAACAAACACGTAGATTTCTACAAAGAAAAAATTATTAATCCACGTTTTGTCTGTGACAGAACCTTTAGAAAGATGATGCATTTTTTTTTATATTTTTAATTGTAGTTTATTACCATTACTTCTTCATCATCATTCTCACGTATAAAACTAGTTTATAACCAGTGCTTTTGGATGTCCGCGCTCTCTTAAGGAAAAGTGATTTTAAATACTTTTAAATAACATTAAATCATTTTATTCTTTAAGAACACGTAAAAATAACAAAGATAAATTTAAAAAAATCTAATTTCAATTTTTTTGTTATAATTTTATCGAAATAAAAATATATATATCATTGTATATACAAGAATATATGAAGTAGCATACAATGTATTATAAAACAAGTTTGACTCTAGTGTCCGTTGGATAAATATATCGGCTGATTATTGTCATTGGTGTCGCCACAACAGCTTGGAGTGGTCGCGCGTTCAATTTGTGATAAAAGTGTTTTTTTTATGTTTATCATAAAATCGGCTCCTCTCCTTTTTGTGAGTATCTAATCTACTACACGTTTTATCTGATAATATTGTTAATATGAAACTTTGAACGAAAGTTTATTTAATGGAATTAAATGAGAATTGAAGGATAATTTTATTTTTTCTCAAGGCCTATATTAAAGTATACATCGTTCTTAACAAAGTTATGCTTATGCTTATTAAAATTCTGCTCGCATTTCAAGATGTTTGGTATTGTGATGTGAAAATACAAATTTTACGTCTAAAACTAAAATAAAAATATTTACAAACTTTAGTATGAATAGATTGTTAAATATTAGACGTAGGTAAACAGATTTTTTCTATGATTTGATTAGTGAGAATATTTCACATTAAAAGTTATAATTTAATTATTAGCCCATAGAAAACATACGCCCGATAAAAAAAAATCTATGATAAGTGATAATATTTACTCTATTCTAGGCTAGTAAGAAAATATAGACGAAATATTTTTTTTTCTAATACTCTTATCTAAACTAGGACCAATTATTACATTGTACAAATAATTTTGTTATTTTATGTGTGCATGCGCGGGAAAAATCGAAAAATTAATTTACCCGAGCGAGCGGCAGTTAAAATCTGACATTTTAATTATCGCACTTCTCAAGCTAGCTATACCCACAGATATTTATAGCATGTGTCTAGTTTTATATAGATATTTAATATATATCAAAGTAAATGGCGTAGTCTTATTGAAATTTTAACTGTCCACAAATAGAGAACGGGTGGAACGATTGTCGAATTTTGGTTTCAAAATATTTGTAGAAGTCCAAGAAAAGTTTAAAGGGTGAGAAAAAATGAAAAATAATGCAAAGGATACAGCAAAAGCACTATTTAATTTTCCTATCTTTAGTTATGTGTCAGACAGGGTATGTTCAGAAAGGATTTTTATTGCAGTTTACCTCATTTATTTTATTCTGAGGCGTTCGCCGGATCAACTAGTTTAAGAGTAAAAACATAAAGTTTATTGTCTTGTATCTATACTAATATAATAAAGAAAAAAAAAATTGTATTTGTATTGAATAGACTCCGTAACTACTGAGCCGATTTGAAAAATTCTTTCATCTACATTAAGCTACATCACATACGGGTGAAGGCTTCAATTTACGCGGGTGTAGTCGCAGCTTGCTCTTTATGTTTTCACGTCCAAAAAATCACTTGGAAAAGATTTTTGCGCCAGAATCTGTAAAGGAACCGATATGTCCAAAAATTTATTAATTATTTAACAAAAACTTCAAAAGTCGTCGTATTTAAAGGAATAAAATTGATAAATCCTTAAAAATGACTACAATTCGCACAGTGGTTAACATATTATATAGAAATAGAAGGAGATTTATTTTACGGCTGTAATCCCAGGAGAGATTGTCATGCTTCTAATTATTAGAGACGGATTTAATCGAATAATAGATAGGTGTTTGTATTTAGCATCCGAAACAAAATTTTATTTATTGTTTACATTGAATGTTTTCACGGGTAAATGGCGAACGATGTTTGCGTAACTAAGACAACATTGGATGCATGTCTAAACGACATATTAATGGCAGACATTTGTTAGATAGGAAATTAAATAGCTAAAGATAAAGTATCCTATATGGTTTATACCTAGGTATTAAGTTACGATGTATACAAGTGCCTAGTAGAAATTAACCTACTAGAACGATTTATTTTTAGGGTTCCGTACCCAAAGGGTAAAACGAGTCCCTATGACTAAGACTTCGCTGTCTGTTCGTCCATACCACAGAACACAGAAAGACGTTAGAAGGGCCTTGTGGGCGTGGCAGTGTAGCCACGATCCCGGACAAATGTACAGGATCGTGACTTCACCACGCGATCGCGATGTTTAGTCATTCACGAACGCGCACGCTGTAGGTACTGTGAAACACGCCACTAAAAGTGTTAAAAATGCCGACTTGCGCAGTTATTAATTGCAAAACAAGAAGCCCATCCTCAAGTAGGTCCAAAGGAAGGATTTTTTCCGTTATTAACTAGAACACTTCTTAAATTTAAATTTTTAGTCGAAAATCGTGAAATGTTATCAAAAGTGTAAATCACAAAAAATATTTCCAAGAAAATATACATTGCTGGAGAAGTGCGCATATTTATTACATTGCGTCGTACTAAGCACGTAATGAAATGAATATCGCGAAATTACCGTTTTAAATAGCAACATAATAGATTCCGGTAGATGGGTAGTGAAGTGCCTGGAAACATTTAATCGATTCTTGGTATGTTAGGTAGTAAAAACTAAATAAAAGTATGGACAATAAAAATAGTGGCAATAAAAAATAAATTTAATCAGAGATTATCCATATTGACTTCGTTCTGAATGCGTTTGTATATTAATTTAATAATGAGTGTGGTAATAAGTCTGTTTTTATATTCTTAATATTGTAACAGAAAATTACTTTTTTTTTATTTTGAACCATTAACAATAATACTTTTTAAAGTCTGTTTAGGATAAGTTCCAATAGCATTTATTGAACTGATAGTATTTTTTTATTTTGTATAAATTTATTTACATTATATTGTTTGTCAATATTACTAGTTTCATTTAAGCGATGTTGCCGATCTTATCTGTTTACTTGATACGAAATCGAGTAACGTAACGTAAAAAAAATACCTACTATTATTATTAATAAACAAACATATTTATATGCATATAAATATTTAAGCTCGACTAGTACCGATTCAATGTTAGTTCATTAGTAATTTAAATATTTATTATTGAATCAACCAACTAATTAAGAATTTATATCTAAAGAAAAAAGATAATGTCTCATTTAATCAATACAATTCAATGTATATCCAATATAATATAAAGAAATCATTAATCAAAATTTTACAATATCGATAGTAAATAACTTTATGTCAATCACTAGTGTGATATGTCAAATTGTGCACTATAGATGTCTGTTATGGTTGAGTGTGATTGGTTATAGTTATATTGGAGCGTTCTGATTGGCATGTTTAAAATGCAAGTGTGTGCATATCTTTTGTATAATTGGTCTGATTATTCGTCTGATGTACGGCGGACTAAAAGTGGGGCAAGACTGGCTATATCGGTTTTCGTACAAAGGATACATGATCGCCTTTCTAACCTCTTTTCAGTGTTCTGTGGTCCATACCATACATGCAAATAAGCATTGCACCCGGGTAGGGTAAAACCCAACTAAATCTTAACTAAACAGTATATAAAACTTAACTAAACAGTATACAGTATGTGAGTAGCTCAGTGGCGTAGTGGATAAGCGCCGCGGCCCGCGATCGTTGTCGTTAAGCAACTTTCGCAAGGGTCGGTCACGGGATGGGTGACTAAAATTATTATCTCGAGCTACTCCGTGCTTCGGAAGGCACGTTAAGTCGTTGGTCCCGGCTGCATTTGCAGTCGTTAATACCCTCCAATCCGCATTGGGCTAGCGTGGAGGGTAATGGCCCATCCTTCTTAACCATCCATAAAGAAGGCCTGAGCCTCTGCAGTGGGGACGTAAAAGGGCTGATGATAATGATGATGAAACAGTATATAACAAAACAGGTTGCCTCGAAGAAATTCGCTGTTCAGCGATAAGGCCGCCTATTACACAACTGTATTTAATTTAATTTATTGTTTGTTCGTTACTTTTTTTGTGCAATAAAGTGTTAAATAAGTATAATGCCGTTTAGTTAAGTTTTAGTACTCGTATCTGTCGATACGAGTATTCACAGAGATTCATGAATCATGATTATGAACAATAGCACTCGTTCGTTAATCAAAAGTATTATGATAGTTGTAATAAGGTAGCATACAAAATTTACATACATATCATTTAACAACTGAATTTCCTGAAGTCAACAAATTAGCAAGTTTACAAAGCAGGTTCTGGGTAGCTCCGCGGTCAGAGTAATCGCCCAGATTTGCGAAAGGTCGTGGGGTCGAGTCCTATCTCAGAGTGCCAGAAACAAAGTGGATTTTTCATTAAGAATAAATGAAAACAAATTTAATTGGGGAGCCACACTTCCGTTAAGTTAATCTGAGTAGAATCCATAAAAAGACCTGATTCTTTTCCCGTTTTTATACATAATGAAACTCTTTGTGCGCGAATCCGTCTCGCACTTAGCCGGTTATTAATCCTTTGTGCTGTATTAAATTTATAGACAATATCTCCCTATAATTTTTATACATTTAGATATTTAAATTACACCCTAGCTCGACGTCATTATGGGAAAACTAAGGTACAGAATAAGGTTAATTTCAATAAATTTAGGTATATTTATTTTATTACATTACCACATCAACAATGGTTCCAAAAAACCAAAGTGACACAATTTTTTATCTATTCAAGTATATATCTTAGTTTGAATCTAATCAAGTATATTGATATAAGCTTTGACGAGCTTCCGTATTAGTCAGATACGACTGCAAATGTTTAAGTATTTATTTTACCCAATCACCGGGAGTTGCACTACTGGCTAATATCTATACTATTGTCTCACTGTTGGCGAGGGAAACGTAAGTTAAGGGCTCAATTTCCACGACTTTCATATCATATTTAAGAGAAATGGTCTTCTGTCGCTTCTCACTCAGTCATTACGCCATCGAGCTACTCATTGTCGAGTTACCACTCGTACTTTGAGCACCTTTAATATCGATAAATTTAGTAAGTGTGTGCGTGCGACGACGCATACGTACGGGCTCGCTCATATACAAACCATTTTCAGTGCGTATGTATGAAGTCAAAGTACTCTTTAGTTCTACAATGGTGTAAATGAGCCATTAATGTCATATGGATCTCGAGCCAAATTTAAAAAATGCAGACATTATGAAACCAAACCTGTAATCAATCTTTGTACAGAGGTGTTCATATCTCGTATAGATTACCTATATCGATTGTATTGTATTGTTAATTGCATTCTTATCAAATCTTTTAATGGGTTATTTCAATAGCATTTATTGTAGTTAATTTTGTTTGTTACTTAACTGTGTTTTGTAAGTACCTACAACTAAACCACATTAAATGCCAAGGCCTGATCTAACTTTCTTTTGACATACGTAAATAATATTATAGTTTATGTTGTTAATTATAGAAAATGTGGATATAACTTGGTACAGGAGATGAACCGCAACATCTGGCACAGAGTTCATTTGGAAAATAATTATATTTCCTAATCGCTGCACACTGAATGTAGCTGAGTAACTCGGTGGCGTAGTGGATAAGCGCCGCGGCCTGCGATCTTAGTCGTTAAGCAACTTTCGCTAGGGTCGGTCACGGGATGGGTGACCAAACAATTATTATCTCGAGCTACTCCGTGCTTCGGAAGGCACGTTAAGCCGTTGGTCCCGGCTGCATTTGCAGTCGTTAATAGCCTCCAATCCGCATTGGGCCAGCGTGGAGGGTCATGGCCCATCCTCCTTAACCATCCATAAGGAAGGCCTGAGCCCCTGCAGTGGGGACGTAAAAGGGCTGGAGAGAGATGAGATGCACACTGAATTACTACTATAAATTCCTTGGAAATGGGATTATGTCTATTTTTGAAACACCAGTTATAACTCCAAAGAATGATGTGATCTGACATTGCCTGTGTTGCATAGATCATTTTCACTTCTACATTATGTATTTTGTAAAAGTTGTTTGAATATTTTAAGATTACAAACAGAAACTCCAATTTTATTTATTTGTATAGATAGATAAAAATCTCTATGATTTTCAAGGGTATGACTTAAACAAATTTATAAGAACGGTGAAATCCGAGTTTTTGTTTGAGGAGAACCAAGTAGGCCCTCTACCTCTCAATGAAGCAGACATATAAGTACTCAGAATAAGGAGCTTCAAAATATATTTTAATAACTCTGAAACGCGTTCTTAATCTAAATCGATAATTACATTTCCTATTTCATTATAAATAGGGAATAGGGAATAGGCTCCGAAAGTACTGGGGTGAAATAAGCTATAATTTATGCCATCGATGTCGATTCACTATATAGTATAAAACAAAGCGACTTTGTTTTATACTAAAAGCTTACATAAGGTATACTTAAATCTTGACTGTACTATTGAATTTCGAAAATCTAAATATCGAATAACTGTATTCATAAAGTTCACAAGTACGATCTACGTAGGTTAGAAAGTATGCAATGACAAATTGCCTAATCGCGAATGTTTGCTATACCGATGTACGGAATCTCGAAAATTTGCTATACAGAATTGCTTTATACCGAATGTTAGCGATCGCGATACGTCGACCAGAAAATACTATTAATATATAGCTAGTGCATAAAAGTAAAAAATGGTTTTGTCAATAATTAGGCTGGAGATGTTGTACAATAAAATTCACACACACTGTTGTATTATAATGAAGTTATATATTTTGTTCCCAGATAAAATGAGGTCCCGTAGTTTATTTACGTTGATAAGCAGTATCCTGGTACTATTACAATGGTGAGTATATAAAATAGCATATTGTACACTTATTTCAATTGCGAGACCACAATAGCATATTTTAAACCATACGCAGTAAAACATAATTTAGTAAATAATTTCCTTGTCTATTCTATAAATAAATCCGAGCTCTACAGTTTCGCACATTTTGAGAGATAAACAAAAAGGACAATGCCAAGCTTCCATAGAAACTTCGGCCAGAACCGACAGACGTGAGTGATATAGGCAGGGCTCGGAAACGTTATTCAAAATAACGTTTTTAAAACGTTTCTTATGGTTCTTTGGGCAAGATTGCGTTCGAAACGAAAACGAAATGAGAACGCTTTAAAAAACCGGTTTAATCCGCAAGACGGTGCCGTGCGGGCTGTAAGGGCGGCGTACATTTATTTTATTACGTTATTTACAGTATGCGATGCAAAAAAACGCAAAATAAATGGTTAAAAACGTTTTATTAACCGAAAACAATATAATTCTGTTTTTTTCCAAAATCGTTTTTTATATCGTTCTGTTCGAACGAAACCGAAACAAAGTGTTTTTTAGGTATTTAAGATGAAAACGTTTCGAAAAATATACCGGTTTCCGACCCCTGGGTATAGGTACCATAAGAAAGGGCAAAAAATATAGAAAATTATATGCACATTATATCTTTAATAAAAGTTCACCAAAAAAAGTTATATTCAAAAAAGTTTTTGTTTTTTTCAACATTTTTCTACATAGTATTTCATTAAAACAGCATATTTATATACATTTATGGATTTTAGGTAAAGGACGAAACCTTTTAAGTCATAAAAAAGGATCTGTAAATTAAAAAACATGTAAAGATTATTATTTTTTATTATCAGTTGTATCAATTTTTTGTTGTAATTAATTATCTAAAAATTGTGCTGGCTTCCATATTTGACTGATATCTAGTCCATCCTAAATACCAAATGATCGTCATTATGTGAGCACAGCAACATACAGTTCTACACCCCACCAAAATTATTGTAGGTACACTTGCAAGTATTTTCCCTGGAATTCGAGACTGATATAATGTTATCATCATTAGAGTGCTCCAGCTCATGAATTGGCAATTCTTGAGAATATGTATCTGGAACACTTGATGCAGAACTTGTAAATGATGAAGATGGTGCAGTATAATTTACAGATAAACTATTACACCTTTGCCAACAAGGGTGACAAATTCTGTCTGATGACTGAAAAGAAATAAAATCATTAGAAATATTGTTACATAATCATTTCTTTCAATGTTTATAGCATTAATTATAGATAAAATATAGTTTAGATTTAATTTTGAGCCAGGTAAAAACCCAATCAAAATCGAAATACATAATATTCGTGACAAATCACAACAATTATTTAGTGGACAACTAAGAATTCTCATACTATGACAACTAAATAATACATAAATATGGAACACATAGAATACAGAGGTCATCATTTGGGTTTGGTTTACAGACACCATCCCATTAGTTTTAAAATACTATCTATAGTTGTATGCCATACAAAGCATAATATAATGGTAAATTATAACTGTCAAATAATTGACTTATTATTATCACTTTAACTTATTTATTATAATTAAATGAATGTTGTTTCTACTTACTTGTTGTGGCATAATTCTTTTCGCAACAACAGATCTTTTGTCAGTATTGTTTTTTAACATAGAAGTTCTCATACAATATTAAAGATCTTCCACAATGTATACATACATTTTCTTTACCAATATGTGATTGACTTATTTCAGGAACTTAATTTATAGTAACAACCAACACTCATGACACACCACACTGTTGCTTGGTATCTGTAGGTAAAATGTAAGGGTTAATATTAATGTTTTCAGTGATCTATGTTGATATGCATTTTACCCACAGCATTTTAGTCGTACATACATCGAAATACTTACATCTGACGGAGAATTTCCTTGTTGGATTTCATCTCGGATGTTTACAGACAAGTACTCTGTTGAATGTCTAATTCTAATTCGAGTGACATTCAGGCCACAGTTGATACATCGCAGCATGATTCCAAATCCATGAGAATAAGCCGAGTCGACGAGAATAACAGGTTCAGTCTAAGTTAAAAGCCGAGTCAACATGTAAAACAGATTCTGGTCATAGTTAAAATCCGGGTCAATAATTAAGAAGTTTCAGATTCAAGTTCGAAGCTGGGTAAATAGATAGAATAAAAACGAAAACAACAGAAAGCACTAAACAACAAAGCGAACGAATTGTACCGCAAATGTACTTCTTCTTCTTCTTTTATTAATGGCCTATCTGCGCATTTCGCACAATTCTGCCAATGTCAAGTGAATAAATTAATTTTTACATGTAAAATGAAAATGAAATGAATGAAAGATGGCGATGAATATTTATTGTTGAATTATCGATGTTGATTCCCGCAAATGTAGGGTATGTTCCGATATACACTGCGAGCACTGCGCAGTGGTCTTACTGCTGAAAAATCCGTTCCGTTATGGACTGCCAGTACACTGCTACAGTACCCTAGGGAAATTTATGACGTCATAAATTGCCGCCATATTTGTACTGTGAGCACTGGAGATTTCGAGGTAAGGTGCTCGCAGTGCTTTTGATCACGTGATCAGTCGAAACAGAATCAGAAAATGATAAGTTTCTAAATAAACAAAAAAAAAAAACGTTTATTATAAGATGGATTTAATTGATAAATAATTTTTTTATACACAATTTTATAATATTTTCTTTTGAAAAGAGGGAATCTTTATTTATATTCACCTTGCATTAACAAATTTGAAAATGGCGCCAAAAATAGGATTAACAGTATACTGGACTGCGTTCCGTTTTAAAAAGTCACCAGTATAATTAGCTATAAAGGAACGGGCTTCCAGTATACTAAATTGACGTCATACTGTTCAGTGGTCGCAGTGTATATCGGAACATACCCGTAATGTTTGTTGTTTTGTCGACTATGACAATAAAAAAAAGTGTTGCCATTATTAGACGTTAAATTGTTTTCAATCGATTAATATCGATTGTTAATAAATAATCAATTATATGTTATACTATGATTATAATATCTTTACTGATTACAGTTATGTAAAAAAATAAGGAATAATATTTTTGTGCAGTACCAAAGAGAAAAATATTATAACATGGCGTATTTATTGTATTTTCATTCATTTTCATAACTATTGATTAATTCATAACGATTATCGATTTTCGACAGATTAGTCATTTTAACTTTTTACTGGCAATTTTTTTGTAAATGGCGTACTTTTCATGTAATAGTCGTTGATTAACTTTACGAAAATTACTCGTAACGGTGTGCTTTTTTTAAATCTATTAATAGTTGATAATTTAAAGTATTATAAAATATAAATTGCAATGATAATGAATTTATTGTCGGCGACAAGCCGTATTTTGTCATTCTCCTTTTATATATGAAGGTGCGCTCTGCAGGTGTACCAGCACCTGATCTCCGCTCTGGATATATCATAAGTACTTCAACCTACTGAAATATCAAGCTTTAGAAAGCTCTTGTTCATTATTATTTCTTGACTCTGTAACGGTGCGTTGTACCACACCGTTTATTTTGTCTTAGGTTACCGCTTCCAAACTTTTTGTCTTCGGTCTTTAATATCATTTCTTATATAATATAATGAAATGAAATGAAAATATCTTTATTCAAGTAGGCTATTACAAGCACTTTTGAATCGCCCAAAGATTTTTTTTTCCCCTACCACTTGTTCAGGACGTCTTTTAGCTGACAAGAAGAACAAGCGAAAGAAACTTACCAGCTTTTTATCATAAGTAATGACATTTACATAAATCATGTCATTACCAAAATAATATGTATTATCACAATAATAAATACAACTTTCCAAGTCTGTAGGACATAGGTTGAACATATAATTAGTCTTTATAGAACCAAGCGAAGACTATCAACTCCATGCATTGCGATCCTTAAAATAATCATCAACCTTATAATAGCCTTTACTCATAAGTATATTCTTAACATGAATTTGAAATTTATTTATGGGTAGGTCAATTACATTTTGTGGAACTTTATTGAACATAGCAATACATTTACCCAGAAATGATCCTCTGGTTTTTTGAAGTCTGAAGCTTGGAACGGCAAGTTTATTTTTATTTCTTGTGTTAAGATTATGAACACTACTTTTTTTTGTGAAGGAATCGTAATGTTTTCTTGTGTACATAATATTTTCATAGATGTATTGAGAGGCAACAGTCAGAATATTTATTTCTTTAAATATTTCTCTGAGAGATTCCCTAGACCGTAAATTATATATAGCACAGACAGCTCTCTTTTGTAGAATAAAAATATCCTGAATGCTAGCCGCAGAACCCTACAACAATATACCATACGTCATTACACTATGAAAATAACTAAAATATACCAATCTTGCCGTTTCAACATTTGTCAAGAGTCTAATTTTTTTAACAGCAAAAACTGCAGAACTCAGTCTACTTGACAAGCTATCAATATGAGGATCCCATTGCAGTCGGGAATCTAGTGTAATACCAAGGAACTTTGTCGATTCTACTAACTCAACTTTTTCACTATTTACATTTATAAGTGTACTGACATGCCTCACATTAGGTAATGCAAACTTTATGCATTTTATTTTATTTGAATTGAGCTTTAAATTATTATTATCAAACCACTGTAGAACATTGTCGAGAGCATTATTTACATCGTCAAAACAATCATTACCCCTCTCAACTTTAAATAGTAAAGAGGTGTCATCTGCAAATAACACTGTCTCGCACAAATTCTTCGTAAAGTGAGGAAGATCATTAATATAAATTAGAAAAAGCAATGGTCCTAATACCGATCCCTGAGGTACGCCCATAGTAACTGGTGCCCCTACAGATTTCGCTTCATTAATTACTACTTTTTGAATTCTAGCAGAAAGGTATGATATTATTAGATTAAGTGAATTTTTCGTCACACCATAATGCTCTAACTTATAATTTGAAATGTTGAGTAACGCGATATGCTCTTTCTGAATGTCAGTTCTAGAAAATTCTTTAACCAGTTCATACATAATATTAGATTTTTAATTAAAATAATTAATTAATCGGTTTGTTTAGTCAAAAGTCAACAAATTCAAAATAATCTTTATTCAAATAGACTTCTTAAAAGTACTTTTGAATCGTCCAACATTTTTTCCCTACCGCTCGTTCGGGACGTCTTTTGGCTGATACGAAGAACGAGCAAGAAACTCACCAGCTCTAATTGGAGTACACTTATTTTACAGTCAAGATCTTAAAAAATTTCAATGAATATGTTATATATTTAAAAGTAAACCCAGAAAAGGGGTGTATAATTGTTTTATTTAAGTACAAACAAACATATTTAAGAAATTCATACGAACCGTTATTATATTCTTCTTTTTGTTGTTAAAGTTTTTTATTTACCCCATAAATATACATACTTATCAAGCCTAGTCAGCCGTTTCATTTACAAACCAACATCTAAGCTCCGAGTATGTCACATCTCAGAGTTATGAGTCTTTTAAAACTTGAACTTTGACTTTGTTACTATATACGCTGTAAAAATATCATAAGTACAATTTTACCGACGTATACTTTCTAACATCCTAATGAAAAATAATGACTTTTTATACAATATCACATGCGCTCATTACTTACATCTTTAATTAAAATTACGATTGGCTTAAAATATAAGATGATCAATATCACAATATTCTGTAAAAAAACACAGCTACGTACTTGAGGTCGAACACAGCGCTGTAACAGCATAGAAGTTCAGTAAAATAAATCCTTTATACCTTTAGAAGTAATAAAGAAAAGCAACAAAATTGTAAATGTGAACTGAAAATCATGTGGCAATTAATTCTTCACAGACTCATGAAGTAGGTTTAATGAAAATTAATAAAGAATATCCTTTTCGACATTACAATACAAATATCGATAGTATTAAACGATCATAATCACTTTCGAATTCGTTGTCTTTGGACCTAATGAGCTGATGAATGTCCAATTACCTTTATTGGTAGGATCGTGTAGCGTCCATGGTTGTTACTGTAATTAGTAAAATTAGCAAGCAATGTAGCCAGCCAGCATTAATGAAACGAGAATTAGCACATAAATAGGCATTATAAAAACTACAGAGAAAAGTTTTATTATGAATTTAGTATTGTATACGATATTATAAAGAGTATCTTATGAAGATATGTTTACAAGTTGTCAGATTTTGTTTCGGGGAAAATTGGGAAAACATTATAAGTTAAAAAGCGAGATTTTTTCACAATAAAACGGTACTCTTAACGGTTTCTTTGTATTATATTCCTTTGAATAATCCTTGAAAAGGAGGAGGTTATATATTCGACGGCGATGTATTATTTTATAAACATTCACAGATTTTGACCTATTTTCAAAATTCTTTTTTAATTCGACAGCTTAATGGCCCGAGATGTTCCCATTTTAATTTTACAGAAATCTAATCAGTAGTTTTAATTTCATAACAAAACAAAATATGTTTCCAAATATCACCTGAATATTTTAATGACATGTTTATATCAGTAAAAAAATTGCTTATTCTGCATTCATTTAAAAGCCCGAAAGGGGTATTTTTTTATATTTAACGGATATGTATTTTTTTATGTTAGTAGATATGTTCACCGATTTCTTCTGGAATTGTGAATGAATTTCAATCAAACTAGGTAGCTATTTCCCCGCATTCGCCTACGTAAATTATAGGCTATGCCCCCCGCATATCAATATTTAAGAAAAAAGAATGTTTAAGTAAATATCATCCGTAGATCCGTTAATTTGAAAGCACATATAAACAAATTTTAAAAACAACAACAAATAGAGTTAATTGGGTGACAAATTACATTATAATGCCCATTTAAGTAATTCGTTATCAGTATCACAACATCCTCACAAACCGGTATAAATTCTGTATGATATTATTATTGTTACTATCAGAATAACTGGCCCAGTTTGGTATTTTTTAAAGCAACAACCACTGCTTACCCAAATTAATACCATATCAGTGATTAACTAGTGAAGTTTGATTATTTTGCGCCGTGATTTATATGAGTAATCTAATCAATTGTACCTTGGATACTTTATCTGCCCCTGAATTTGTCCAAAATAAATTTAAAGCGTTGAAATAAAGACGGCAAGCGATGCAAAATAAGTAACTCTGAAGTTAAAATTAGTATTTTATATTTATACTTAAGTACATGGTGGCACAGATATATATATGATAGTATAGCAGAAGTTCTCATGTCTAATTATGAAAGCCTCTTTTGATATTTGTGTAATTCCTCACTTAACGAACTTTCTTATTTATATTCATTACATTTTATCTTACACCACTTTAGTGTTTTTAGTTATGCAGAGGTTTCGAACAAACTACAGTTTATTTTCTTCTAGATTACTTTCAAAATTTACTGGTTTCGGCGGACTTTTTTCTGCTACATTTCTACTATATTTCCAAACTTAGCAAAATTCGAAATATAAGATCTATGGTAAAGCTGAACGTGTTTTTGTTTTAAGTGTATCAGCAAGTGATTCACCGTGGAGCTGGTCTTGCGACGATGGGAAATGTCAGAAAATCCGCTTCGATGCGAAAAGCACAGAGCCGGCGTTAAGCTTGGAGGCCTGCAAGATGTTCTGTAATGAGTATGGTGAGTATCATTGACGGAAGCATAAGTAATGTTAACTATACTCTGTCCCCTTGCAATGTTGCATTCATTTCCTGCTAATCGCAACAATCTTATATCTAGGAATGACTTCAATCTGTTCGAACGTTGGTTAGACTTCTTTTGCAATTTTGTCTGTGTTCAATGCAGGTTTACTTTGGCCAAAGCCCACCGGTGATGTGGACCTGGGCAATTATCTTTCCAAGATCAATATGAAAAATATTGAAGTCAAAATCATCAGCCACGGCAAAACCGATGATCTGATGGAGGCTGCAGCTCAGGTTTGAAAGCAAAACATATCGAACTTAATATTAATAAGAAGTACATACTAATTTTGGTCTCTTCATTATTGATAAATATAAAAAGAAGCGGTTTTATCAACAGCAGTAGTGTTCTTCGTGTGCAAATACTTCTCCTGGTATAGGGGATATGAGTCAGGTTTCGAATTCTAGACTTTTTTGTGACATTATCAATTTAAAAGCTACGCAATTTATTTCTATTTCGGTGTTGTAACTTCTGACTGTTTTTAATTAAGTCATTTGACTCCGTTTCTACTCTTGGACGGTTTTAAATGATCTTCCTTGTTTTTATTTTTATATCGTCCATAATTCATTGGCAATCAACAAAAATGTATGACTACAATTTGTATTTTAATATTCATTATGAAAAATATTCTTTTGTAGCGGTTTAAGGAAATGGTTGCGTTGGTTATACCGAAAGGGGCGACACCAAAAATGACGGGCAAGTCCTTGGATGTGAATCTCGTGAATGCCAATCCTGATTCGAGGGGTGAGTTAGCGATGGATTCATTTAGAAATTATTTCATATTGGTGTAACGTAGACGTAAATATACTGCCTATAATGGTGCATGATTATCTGTCATACTTAATCACGCATCATACTTATCTTCGTATCTTATGCTGGGATATAGGTACTCCTTATGGATAAATTCACATGGACAGCTGATATGTTTTAACTGCAGAATTCATATAACTCATATACTGCGCTTTATGCAGATTGTTGGAGGCTAACAACTGTAGGCAGATGCAGGTGGGACCGAAGTAATTAATGTGCCTTCCAAAGCATAGAGGAGCTCGAGATAATAGAAATTTGATCATCCATCTGATGGTCGGCATTTGTTCTTTTACTAAAGTGTATTGATTAACTATTGAAAATAAAGAATAAAGTTTAAATAAAGTGGTCTAAATTGTAGGTACAATTCTTTGATTTATATCAAGTATATAATCAAATCTACGATTAAAAAATTTGATTACATATATAAAAAAATGCTTTGATTACATATATATCTCGTAGTTATATATTTTTTAGAGATCATAGATAAATATGTTACTTTATCAGGATACGCAGTACATTTATCTCATCGGTCTCGATTAGCTCGATGGTGCAGGCTAGCGCGTTTGGTCTGCGATGCAGAAGTTAAGCAACTTTCAGCCAGTTGTACAAACGTCCATTAAAATTTTCATTAGTTTAAAGCCTCATTATCCATACAAATTCGACATGCATTAGAACTATAATGTGTCATTAAACTTTAATGGCCATTTGTGCAACTGACCGTTTGTGACAAAAACAAATTGATCTCTGTGCTTCTGAACGCACGTCAAGTCGATGGTCCCGGCTACATCTGCATTCGTCCAATCCCGGCAACACCCACAAATCCGCACTGAACTAGCGTGGAGTTTATGGTCTATTCTCCTAATACGATATGATTTGACTCCATCTTTAGCGAAGGTCTGTGCACTAGAAATTGGTACATTAATAGCATAGTGATGATGTCGTTGAAACTTGACGATTTCGAGTAAAAATGATAAATATTTTTATATGAATTCCTACAGCACAGATGCACAATACCGTTATTTATCATTGACTTTCCCACAAAGAAGTTTATTTTTTAGAAATAAACAAATAAAATATTAGTATTTCACTTGACATGTCCTCGAGTTCATTAACCTCGTGCAAGTTGCAAAACGAGATTTTTTAAATTACTTACTAAAATTGATATTCGAACCCTTATCATGATATTTTATGTTACTACTTAATTTTTATTGGTTAACATTCTTTTAATTTTTTTTTTCTCTTTTCGTATTTTTGTGTAACGTGTCCGATATTTATCTTTTTATTCAGCCAATGTATATTCTATTTTACGACATTCTAAATATTGGTAAAATTATATAAACGAGCGTAATATAGTTTGGGTTTTCTATTTGGTATAATGTTTTATTATGTAATAAATTACCATATTTTATTTGTGAATTTTAGTTTTTATGTCTTAAGCTAATGCATGCATATTGTAGATTTTTCTGAAATGGCGGAATTGATCCAGAAAATACAGAAACTATTAATTACACGTGCCCAAATTTTCCTGGTTTATTTTTTTTAGGACGTATTTATGATTTTTTTAATATAATAAGAAAATCATAAGTAGAAACATTTGTTTCTTTTTAACTCAAATGATTGCTGGTTAAAAAAAGAGAAAAGCGTGATTATGATTTACAGTAATAAATACTTGATCAAATGTTATGCATTGCTAACAAATTTTTCCTGTATATAAATGTAAAAGGACATTAGATGCGTGATTATGCAAAGGCCTTGTAAATGTCTCGCCGAGAATATTCATATTGAATGATAATAGCAAGATGATATTCAAAGTGTCAGAAAGCCTGTTTCGACTCCTGTATGGCAATGAGTCCAATGGCGCTGCGGTGAGCTGCTTGCTGCCTTCTGAATACGATTATGGAAGTGAAACAACTTTCGCAAAGGTCACAGATGATTCACCAATTCATTATTATTTCTATTCAGATTGTTGAAATATTGACATCCCCTATTGATTCAAAGCACATATCTACCTATGAGGACGTTCCAAGATGATGCTGTGCTTTAGAATCCATAAGCATCATTCTTTATCATTTCTTTGTCGTTATTAAAGTACACGTGAAAGTAGTAAAACGAAACGTAATATAATATAAGATGATGGTGTCTCTAGCCATAGATATATAAAGTTAATTTGCTTTAGCAAAACCACTAGCTTCAGTAAATTATTTAGTAAATATACAATATAAAAAATTGTGTTTATTGCAGAATTTTCACTGGATATGGACGAAAGCTATGCCCTATACGTGGCTCCCAAGACTTCCGGGGCTGAGAATGTGGCGGACCTGAATGCGACAATCACCGCCAATACTTTCTTCGGGTTGCGTCACGGATTAGAGACATTGTCACAGATCTTTGTATATGACGAAATTCGAGACCATCTTTTGGTGAGAAACTAGAATCTATCTAATTACTTTTGTATTTTTTGCAGCACTAAACAGAACTGATATACAGACCTAAACATACATATGTAATGTATATAATGGGTAACAGACCTAAACAGACATATGTAACATAGGTAATGTAATTTAAAAGTAATATTTCAAACTAGCTTTAGTCCGCAACTTCGTCGTCGTAAGTAGACAAAGCGTGTGTATATACTTACAATGAAGAACTTCTACACACGCTTTTTATCCCTTTTTCAATCCTTTCAACTCTTATGTTGCAATCAAAGATGGCAAGATCAATTTTCGCTGAAAGAAATTTCATTAAAATCTGCTCAAAATCGTAACAGAAAGATTTATTTTTGTATTCAGAGCTAATATTAGTAGGGATAACACTATATTACCTTATTTAGCCAAAGGAATTATTATAGCTGCTGGTAGTCCTAGCTGATTAATCCGAGCTGAAGAAGGCTAACTAAATAAATGAATGTGAGATTTAAAGAATTCTGTTCGTACTAGTGTATGGAAGTTCATAATTCATGTTTTTATACAATCGATTCTAAAATTCTTTTCATTTGGTTTCTTCAGCGCCTATACATATAATGTACACACCGCATGTCAGGTCACCACAATATGTCAAATTTCTTCATTTTATTTTGAACTCTATACTCAATATTAATACAGGCTTAAAATTCAATGAAGAAATTATACAGTTTTGTATAACTTGACATGCTGTTGAAATCTTTGCAATTTCAATCAAAAAATAGTAAGTGTGCAACTAATTATTATACATTTCGATGTCCGCTTAATAATTTTTGGTGCGCATTATTTTGGTAATTTAAAGTGTTTCACGTAAAAAGGGAACTGGTATAGTTAAATGTGTCTAATGAATTTATTGGGGACGCCACGTATATCAAGGTAGTCCATTTTGAGAATATTTGGTTCCTTTAAGGCTCGAATTTATTACTTTGCTTTTATTTTAATTTAGATAGGAGTCTAGGAGTGACTTATTTTTAATGAAGCACCATAACGGTTGTTTGCGAATGTTACGATTATGATAATGGAACTATTTTGAAACGACACGGAGGACTTGTCATATGGTAATTGTAGAACCTATAAATAATGAGTCAACGACCGAAACCGGTCCGCGAGAGAAATCATCGAACTCGTCAACACAAAGAATTACACGATCATATCTTATTGTATGATTAATGTATGAATCTTGCGTTCTTATGGACTGTCAGTAATAGGACATTTATGGAAAAGAGTTTAGTAAAAGGACAATAATATATAATAGGAACTGAATGAAATGTTTTTAAGTTAATGATGTGCGAATAAAATAATATCATAGTTAATGCATGAATAGATTAAAATGTAAATTTATATATCTACTAAAACTATTGCAAACTGTCAAACAGTAAATATGTGATACGCTTATTTTATGACATCTGTTACACCATATTTTATGCAATAAATGATTGATTGATTGATTGACACTATATATTTTGTACTGTGAGGAATAAATACTAAGGGTTTTTTGGAAATTCAACCTCTAAGGGGTATTTGAGGTATTATATTAGATAGTCATTACCAATTTAATCGTGACTTTGACCGGAAAAATTATCTGTCATCGCCCTTGATGTAGTTTCCCGTAGGTAAAATTTGGAAAATCAATCCAGTAGATTCGGAGCCATACAAACAAACCAACAATCAAATGTTTCTTTCTTATATTATAAGTATAAATAACATTGCAGGCTGAACATTGCAGGTTGTAGTTACATTACAATTGTTTTTTTTTATTCCTCATTAATCAACTAATGTAACTACAAACATTGCAGGTTGTAGTTACATTACAATTGTTTTTTTTTATTCCTCATAAATCAATTGGCGTAGACCGAAATCTAATCTAATCTGCTATCTACCGTTGCCTATGGAAAATGACGGCACAGCATTCTGATTTGACCCCCTTGCTCTAAAACTATCTGATTTGCTCATGGCTCAGAAGTTGAATACGTTCATGTGTAACCTAAGTAACATTATTTTCAATAACTAAATCCTTTAGTTATCGTAAAATGATAAAAAAGATCTATAATAGTAACCATTGTGATTGATTGTACTATAGCGGTTTTAACAAAGCGATTTAATTCTATTATATGTATTAAAGAGCATTTCTATTATGTTTTTAGAGCAAATCAGTGATAGAACTAGAGCCTATTTAAATAATTAGCATGCGTTAAAACGTTTTTAAAACTTGTACGAGGGTCAAACTGAAAGTTCTTAGAACTGGCCACTTATAAACAATATAATAAAAAAATAATTCTAAAATTTGAAAATATAACTCTTTGCCAATATTACTGAGTATATATTTCATTCATTTGTCATTTGTTTTACGATTTGGCGGCAAATTGAAAATTGTCTGTGTCACGTCATCATGAATTTAACACGAGAAAATTTTCGTGCAATGATTTTTTATGACTTTCGATGTCATTTAAGTCAACAAGAAAGTTATGATAGACTACGATTGGCCTTTCACGATGAAGCCCCATCTCGTGCGACTGTTTACAACTGGTTTAATGAGTTTAAACGTGGTCGCACTAATCTCACTGATGATTTACGTGAGGGACGGCCTTCTACGGCGACGACTGAAGATAACATCTGTGTTGTGCGGCGTATGATAGAGACTGACAAAAGAGTGACCTATCAACAGATTCGGACAAGCTTAGGCATCGGTATGAGTCAAGTGCACAAAATCCTCCACGAACATTTAGCGGTCAGGAAGCTTTGCGCCCGGTGGATACCTCATAATTTGACTGAGGCTCAAAAACTCCATCGTGTGGATTGGTGTCGTAAAATGATTGAAAGATTTAACGGAGGTGACTCAAATGCTGTGTTCGACATACTAACAGGTGACGAAAGCTGGATTTACTGTTATGATCCTAAAACCAAAAGACAATCTGCTCAGTGGGTGTTTCCTTTCGAGGAGTTGCCAACTAAAGTGAAGAGAGATCGAAGTGCGGGAAAAAAAATGGTGGCCTCGTTCTTTGGAAGGATAGGTCATTTTGCAACAATTGTGGTAGAGGATCAAAAAACAGTTTCTGCAGAATGGTACACTACCAATTGTTTGCCACTTGTCTTGGAAAAAGTTCGAGAGAAACGACCTCGCAGTAGGATCCTCCTTCACCACGACAACGCCTCGTCGCACACCGCCAAGCGAACGATCGACTATTTGGCGACATCAAACGTTGAATTACTGGGTCATCCGCCGTATAGCCCCGACCTCGCGCCTTGTGATTTTTATTTATTTCCAAAAATTAAAGAAAAACTTAAAGGAAAGCGGTTTATGAATGCTGAAGAAGCGGTGGCTGCGTATCGCGATGCCATTGAAGAGACCCCTAAGGACGAGTGGGCAAAGTGCTTTTCCCAGTGGTTCCATCGCATGCAGCGGTGTATTGACGTGAATGGACAATATTTTGAAAAGATATAATAAAACTAATAACTGGCTAATGTAATCAGTTTTTGATTTTCTAAGAACTTTCAGTTTGACCCTCGTATATTACCGAATTTTGGTACTTGGGAAGTAGGGAATACAATCTCGCGAGATTGGGACTCGGGCGAGATCTCACGAGTAATGAATATCATACCGCGATATCTCGCCAATCACGAGATCTCTCGAGATTGGCATTTTTGTGTGTTTATTGTTTTACCGTAATATTTATTCAAATTACAATATTTGAATAAATTAGGAAAAAAAATGGTATTATGAAGTAAACCTTTATTTTTACGGGTATTTTCAATGAAGTTTTATGTATTTAAAATCGTTTGACGCAATTATATATTTTTTAATATAAAACCTTTAAAAGAGCAATTACTGTATTAAAATCTCAGAAACGGTTCCAACAATTTTCATGACATTAATTATGCAGGGGCTTTCAGAGGCGATAATTCGTTTTAGTTAGTTTTTTTTTATTTAATACATGTGCCGAGTAAAGCTTAGTCATCCTTTGTCATCATAATCAAATACAAAATAAAATAAACAGCCAGTCTTCTCTGTAAATATCAAAAAAAAAAGGCTAAAGAGGCCGCGACCTCGTGAGAACGAGATTGCATTCCCTATTGGGAAGTTATATATTTCACTATTGTTATGCAGATGGTGCGAGATGTGAAGGTGACTGATAAGCCTGTATACCCATACAGAGGACTGCTGCTGGATACAGCTAGGAACTTCTATACAGTCGAATCTATAAAAAACACTATTGGTGAGTGACATTCCGTCTACACTTTGGCCTTTATCACGTGATATAATGTCACGTCGTTTTTTACTCTAGGTCTGTTCTTAAATTAGTATTTAAAATTGTTTTTAATAGATGCAATGGCGTCTGTCAAGTTGAACACCTTCCACTGGCATATCACTGACAGTCAGAGTTTCCCGTTCGAGTCCAGTAGGAGACCACAACTGACCAAACTGGGGAAACTTGGTGCAAACAAGGTAATTACATGTATCCTCATCAACAACGACAAAATTAAAAAGTAGCGTTTATTTTAATTAAGTATTTGTTTTATTTAATTAAATGAAAATTTTAACTACTTTATTTAGACTGTGGCCCTTTTAAAGTTGGTTTCCATTTAATTTCCATTCCATTATTATTATTAAATGATTATGTTAACATTATAAGACCATAGTTTTTTTTTCTCTCTGTTTACAATGTATTGATCTGGTAATGACATGGTTTTTGTAAATGTCATTACTCTTATTAGAGCTGGTGAGTTTCTTGTTCGTTCTTCTTATCAGCCAAAAGACGTCCTGAACGAGTGGTAGGGAAAAAAAATGTTGGACGATTCAAAAGTACTTTTAAGAAGTCTATTTGAATAAAGATCATTTTGACTTTGACTAAAAGTTCAAAAGCTACCCCAGTGGCTCTCAAAATATGGTGGGGGCTGGGTGACATTAATTTTTAAAAAGGTACTTTGAATATTGTATATAGTTAGATATTGTTTGTTGTTCCTTTATACAAATTTTATTATAAACAGTTTTGATTACCGAGAAAAAGTGAAATTCAACAATTTTCAACCTTGTCTGACGTCACAATTCACAGCAACAGATATTGCTTATTAATGTCAATAAATATTTTTTTTAAATATAGCCCTTCTTACCCGTCTATAAGGATGGCCTGAGCCCCTGCAGCCGTCAGATAGTGTGATATAGTGATTAAATTGTAAATTGACTTCTTAACATCAAATTGACTGTGTATTTTTACTTGAAACATGATGGTCAATTTTTATTCACACGGTCAATAAAAGCGTTTGTTTATTATAGGTGTATACTAAAGAGGCGATCAGGGACGTGGTAAGGTTTGGTTTGGAGCGCGGCGTGCGCGTGCTGCCGGAGTTCGATGCGCCGGCGCACGTTGGCGAGGGCTGGCAGGACACCGACCTCACCGTCTGCTTCAAGGTGGGCCGACGCAGTACATACACCTCACAACATCTACCATCGATGACATTACAACAATACCTATTGATTCATCAAATATTATTCAAATAATCGTCCATCAGCTTCGAGTTGGGCTAACGCAGTATTCAATTCAGAACATTGACCAGCAGTGACATTTCAATAACAGCTCCTGATTCATCAAAATTTAATTCAATTCTATGTTAATGTATCTTTGATGTCTCTATTTTATATCAATTGGTTATTAGCATAAGTTTCTGCCATTTGTTTTTGTGTTTGCACATTTGTCATATTTATTATGTTTAATAGGTTACTTACCTTCTTTTTAATATATTTATTAGGTTATATTTATAAAACCTTGCTTAATTTGCCAAAAAGGACCGACAAAAACACATGTGTGTGTTTTGTGATTATCCCAGTGAAGTGCTATCATTATATAGCAAGCAATAATTGTAATAATTTTTGCCTTAGGCTGAACCTTGGCAAAAAATTTGCGTGGAGCCTCCTTGCGGTCAGCTGAACCCAGCGAAAGATGAGTTATATGATTACTTGCAAGACATATACACCGATATGGCCGGTATGTATATTTTATTTATTCGTAGACATTATTGCAGGACAGGAATATTCCTGATATAAAAACTAATTACTGTTATCTCAACTTAAGTTTTAATTATTTATGTTATGTGAATTACTTTAATTTGTTTGCTAAAGTTATCTGATACAAAATGTTCCTTTCGTTCTAGAACTTTTGAAAGAGGAAACAATTGTTGTGTAATTTGCTAGATCGAATTTTAGCTCTTTCCAAATAAATCTCCATTTGTATTTACCCTCGTGTAGTGATGAATAGGTACCTAGTAGGTAAATACCGGTTGTAATCGTGACTATTTTATAATAACTCGTTTATCACTATAGCTATGCATCATTGTATATATTTTCTGACATTTCAGAGGTATTTGAAACAACCGACATGTTCCACATGGGCGGAGACGAAGTGAGTGAGAAGTGCTGGAACTCTTCAGAGTCAATCCAAAATTTTATGGTGCAGAACCGCTGGGACCTGAGCTCTGAGAGTTTCCTTAAGCTTTGGAAATATTTCCAGAAGAAGGCAGAGGCTAAAGCTTATAAGGTGAGAGGATTTTATTCAAAACATATGACAAATTTTCCATGCTCTAGAAATTTGAGTTTTCTGTATATGTATATTTGTTTTGAATTCGTTTGCAGGCGTTCGGAAAGAAGCTCCCTCTTATACTTTGGACAAGTACTTTGACTAATTACAAGCACATTGACCAGTACTTAGACAAGGATGATTACATTATTCAAGTAAGATTTATGTATAATCAATCGTAGTTATTTGATTTAATTGTTCGTCTTTAATATCTTCTATAATAACATTATATTTATGTTAATAAAATTACGGTGTATATTTTTTTAAAGGTATGGACTACTGGTCTAGATCCTCAGATTCAAGGCCTACTTGGAAAAGGTTACCGTCTCATAATATCCAATTATGATGCTCTATACTTCGATTGTGGTTTTGGCGCTTGGGTGGGCAGTGGTAAGTGAAGCTTCGAAGACTTTAATATAACAAAGAATCATGCAAAAGAGTATACACATAATGAATAATGCGACATATGAATGTTACAGGCAATAATTGGTGTTCTCCATTCATTGGATGGCAGAAGGTTTATGACAATAGTCCAGCTGTTATGGCTTTGCAGTACAAAGATCAAATTCTTGGTAAGTTCAAACGTCTCAGTATTGTAAATGTAACTGAATTAATATGTAGCATAAGGGGATCATATTTCAGTTTCTTCCTATTCAGTTTGATTCGATAAGAAATGCCTGAGCATCCGCAGTGGGGAAATTAATAGTCTAATGATGATGATATGTCAGTTTAGTGTTACCGAGAATTTATGTTGATTTAAAATATTAAATGTGATTTTGATGAAAATGTATGATTTAACGTAAGCATAGGAGTAAGGAAGATAAAGAATCCAAAAAAGTTAGAAACGCCTTAAAGTAAAATCTTTGTTTTCAATATTTAAAGAAATCGAATGAACAATAGTTAATTTTTTTTGCGCAAATTTGGCTTGCGTAAATATGACCATGTTTCTGATTCCGTAGGCAACTTCACTGACTCCCACTTCGTCGTCGTAGGGATATGCATATGCTCTCGCTTATCTACTCAATACCGTTATTGGGGCTATCCCATGATACCCTCACATCTGAAATCACGCTTTCAATTTCTATCATCTATTAGAAGGGTGAAGAGAGAGATGATCTCTCTCTTCACTTTTCTAATAACTCTCAATTGGTCATTCCTTCCAATCTCAATTAATTCTATAGTAAATTTTTTTATATTACAAGCAATAACTTGCTACCTGAATTAAAAATTCTTTCAAAGCACAATTTTAATTCCATTTCCTGTCAAAAGTTTAGCCTGCATTTCTATTTTTTTATACATATATATTTACTATTTTTTTATACTAGCTTTTCGCCAGCGGCTTCGCCTGCGTGGTCTTTAGGGAACTGTATTTGGATATCGTTTCATATCACGACACGTGTATAGTTACATAGACAAATCGAATAGTAAACAATGGTTACTAAGGTAACTTTTTAATTATCTATACAAACTTCCACTCCCATTAGATCCTTTTTGCTGTTTACAAGATTAAATACAGTCAAAAAGTGTCGAAAAAAACATCACGTGATTAACGGACGGCCTCTTATGAAAAAAAAAAATAAATAAAAAATTGAGTGGAAATGTGAAAATATAAGAATATTTAACCACATATCATTAGTATAGATCAGGGGTGGCCAACTTGTTTAGACCCAAGATCGACTTTTCACTGACGACACCCAGTACGATCTAACGACTTTACTTCTTAAAATCTTAAATAAAACAGCATAGTTCGTACACGATTATGTAGCATTTTGATTTTATTAATATTCTTTGACTGGTTGATCGCGACTGGTTGGCCACCCATGGTACAGATGAATGTATAATTAGGCGGCGAGGCGGCCCTGTGGTCGGAGCAGTCGGACTCGTGGACGCTGGACACGCGCATGTGGCCGCGCGCCGCCGCGCTGGCCGAGCGGCTGTGGGCCGAGCCCGCCACCACGTGGCACGACGCCGAGTACAGGATGCTGCACGTCAGGTCGGTACACACTGACCGTTTATATATGATGAAGGTTTTCGGTACTGACAGATATTCCTTCCGCGATTATAATTATTCCAACTAATCCTAGTAATACATACAATTTCATTCACAGCTGTGTGCCAGATGATACTTCTTTTTTCATTATGAACTTCCTTTGGTGTCAGTGTAGGTACATTATGTATTCAAATTAGTTATAAATTAACAACGAGTTTAACTCCAACTGGATATATTCTTGGATAAATTTTCCTTTTTTAGCATAATATGAGAAAGCTAGTTAACCTTTGTATCATATCGACCTTTACTATAACTTGGTTAACCCCTAGGGGTCTCCATATCCCATTTTGAGAAACATTGCTAGAATATTCCGATGTGGTTTCGAGTATAAAATGCTTAGGGTAGTTCCATAATTGATGGAAGACACTTCATCAGAAATTATGAATTATATTATATAGGTTGATACGACTTCATTCGCGTGGTAAAGTTATTTAGTACAGCATTTATAAATACGCTAAAACAAATTTATTTATCTCTTATAGTGATTTTATACAAAATACTTACGTCTTTTCTCAAGCAACTTAATATACTGCCGGTTTCTGAATTGAGAAAAGTATAAAATCTTAACTGACTACTCTGAATAACATAATATAAGTTTTTTACGTGTCACAGGTTAAAAAGTCATAGTTTGTTCAAATTGCTATAAACTTATCATTAAAAAAACTAAAATTAGAAAGAAAACCTGTTTAAGTGACATTTGAGTACAGTTTAGACATTCTTAATTTTAAATTCTCAGTTCAGAAACCGGGTGTTAGTGGTTTAGGCATGAAGGACAGGTTGCCTTATATAAAAATAACTTTAACATTTTGTTAATTTGTTACAGGGAACGTTTGGTGCGAATGGGAATCCAGGCTGATTCAATCCAACCAGAGTGGTGCTACCAGAACGAGGGCTACTGCTACCGTTGATTCGTAGTTTTCATAAAAAATTGTTTTGGCTTTGATAATACTCAGATATGTAAAGACTTCTATGCAATATGAGCTGTTCAGAATTCAGTGTGCCGTCTGCAATGTTTCTAAAATGTTGATTGGTACACCTATCACTTTAATCTTGGGATAAGTGCTCATAGCATTAGTAAATGAAAGAGTTACTTCGTGTGTTATTATAACTATAGAACTATTATTATTAGAGTAGGGAAGACATACGGCTTTCTTGAGTGGAAATGTAACGCTGTTAATAAGAGGGGGAAGATCGAAGTAATCCATTAGTTTCTCTTCACAAGCATATCTTCTCTCTCTCATTAGTCTGGTAACGTCTCGTGTCTAGTTACATGCTCTAGTACAAAAGCTCATTGATTATAACCCAGATAGCATGTTTTTCAGTACTGTACAGCTTACTATAGGTAATAGAAGTCTTTGCATAATAGACGCCAAATATATAATACAATTAAAGGCTCTAAAACACGTGCCTCAAACTCTTTTGCACTTATGCAATTAATTTACGAATCACTGTGATTGTATAGATATAATTAATATGTATTTGTTCTTTACATGTGGTCTTTATAGAGTCAATTAACATAATATTGTGATCTTTTATATACTATCATTGACGTATTATGAATAAAGTATTAGATTTATATTCATATTTTTGGGTTTTTATTTGTTAACCTTTAGAAAAATGAATTTACTTTAAAGAACATGAATGCACCATGATTTTAAAAGCATTAAACTGAAGGTTGATTATATTTTTATAATAACTAGAGACTTGCTTCTATCGATTCACTTTAATAGTGTCTTGGTTTTTTCTTCGTCCGTAGTTGACTTGGGTGTTTTTTTAACCGAAAAAGACAAAATGCATATGTCGTGCCTGTCATTTTAATAAAAAAAAGGTTAAGAACGAAATGAAAGTTTTAAAAATGTTATTGTTTATTATGGGAAAGTAGAGTAAATTTCCTTGTGGTGAATCAGACTGAAAACGGAAAATCAAAACGTGCATGTCGTAAAAATAAAGCAAAAATTAGAAAATATATTGAGTTTCTTATATCTGATTAATTTTGCATCCACAATGCTATACTATACTGGTGAATATTCTCAATGAAAAATGTGTTTCATCTCAGAGTTACTGGCTGATGGAATTTTTGAGATTTTTTTAAATATGATTACAAATATATTGTTTTTTTATTCATTGAATATCCTACACATCACTATTAGAGAGGTGCAACGATTCATCCTGCAAGCGTTGCGTCATCGTGCTCTAGCTCCCACTTTTGTTTATGTTATTCAAAATTCAAAATTATAATTATAAAGAATGTAATAGTTATTTAAGTACATAAATGTATGTTTTTGTTTAATTTTTCTTAGCAGTATGTACATGTGAAGGGTCGCAACCTTGATAACTGTAAAACATACTTTTAATTTGTATTTTCACCCGGTTGTCACCTGTTTTGTACATCTTAATAAATAAATTTATCCACCTATCCGCTGCTACCATAAGTTACAGTCTGCTTGACTATTAACATCTACCCTATCGTGACTTCAGTAGTATACCTATACGTATACGTAGTAGATATGTTGGCAGGACAGCAATAATCAAACTGTACAGTTTAATACACTTTATTTTATCGGTTTTGTGTGAAATATTAATGAGAAAATATTTAAAAAAAACGAAAGCACTTCATTAGATGGCGACTTTAGCAAAAGTTGATTTTTGCAGGAAACGAATGGACCAAAGACAGTCATTTCCATTCCTTTTATCTAGCATATTAAAAAACTGAAATTTGAAAAGTTCGAAACTTAGAAATCAATACAAATACGAAAAAGTACACATAGAATATGAGTTGTTTATTGAGTTTTGAAAACTAATTTACTTTTAAACATGAAAGAAAACCGGAAGGGTTGTCATGGAGAAAGCAAGAACGTACTGTAGCGACGTAATTTAAAGTGTCAGTGATTTAAAGTGTCACACGATCTACTAAATTCCTTAAAACTTATTAAAACTTATTTCCACAAAAGTGTGTGCTGTCCAAATTACTTCCGTCTCACATTCGTCGAACGAATGTATTTGTATATTTTTATTATATTACTTTTTTAAATAACTGCTTTGCAGGGCCTCACCTGTCTGGGAGAGGCTCTCGATGAAACCGAGCCTCTCCATCTGCGATGGGACCAATGGTCCAATACTAGAGTGTCCTAGTGACTCGGGTGCGGCTGGGTGGGTTCATAGAGAAGAGTCCTACTCACCCACTGTTGCTTGCCGGGTAACAGGAAAAGAGCCAGAAGCATTTCCTCGACGATAAAAAAAGTTAAGTTCACGTCTCAGCAGATACTTTTGCTAAAAAGGTACATAAATCTGCAAAACTGCTAAAAGGATGAGATTCTTAAAAAGATCCTGCAGCGAGATGTAGGAAATTTTTAGGCCATGTCACGCTCTACTGAAACTTTGGCTCAGTAGGTTTACACCGTTCTCGAATGAGTGAAAACAACGCAACTTATGTTAGGGGTTAAAATATGAAATTGCCGTTTTATTATAATAGGTTCCTTGAATTGACATAGAACCTTCATCACCGACCGCCCACACAGGTGAATAGCGATGAATTAAGAGAGATGGTGGAAGTCGATCCTAGTCAAACTACTCAGAAATTAGCGATATGGTTTAACGTTACCTTACCCACAATACTGACTCATTTGCGTCAAATCAATAAATTAAAAAAAATACGAAAAATTGGTGCCTCATGATTTGACTGATTCGCAGAAAGAATCGCATATCTACTGAAACATGTGCCTTGTTGAATCGGTACAGAAATGAAGGAACGTTGGATCGAATTGTGACATGTGATGAAAATGATAACCGTAAAAGAAAAATGCAATGGCTGACCCCAGGTCAAACGCCACAACAGTGTCCTAAAGCAAAACTTACCAATGAAATGGTAATGGTAAATGTTTGGTGGTCTCATCATGGTTATTCGCTATAGTTTTCTCCGATCTGGTCAAGCAATAACGGTAAATGTCTATTGGGCCGAACTCCGAACAATGTTGGCAAAACTAGCAGTAAAAAGTTCCAACTCATGAATCGATCTTCACCATTATTGCTCCATGACAACGCGATACCTTATACAGCACGAGTAACCTTTGTAACCCTTCAGGAACTGCAGTTAGAAACCATTCGTAATCCTCTATATTCGCCAGACCTTGCTCCAACCGATAACCATTTTATTTCGCGATTTGGACAATTATCTACGCGATAAGAAGTTTTCTTCCCAGGAGTACAAAATGCTTTCACACAGTTTGTGCAGTCTAGATCCTCAGAGTTCTATCACAAAGGCATAAATGCTATTCCTATTAGATGGCAGCAATGTATAGATAATAATGGTAACTATTTTGATTAAATATATTTGTTAAACATTAAAAAATAAACGATTTTGATTATCTGTACAAATCGGCAATTTCATACTTTAACCCGTATTAAATATAAGATGTAAATGAAACACGCATTTTATAGAAAAAATGCGTGTTTCATTTACATCTTTGTTTTTCCTTTTTATTTTGATACAGCAATAATAATAAGTTAGACTTATCAATCTGATTAATTATTGTTATTTTAAGAAGTCGGTCGTTTGTGGTAGTAACTAGTCCTTAGTCTGTGGTGACAGTCAGTCAGTTTGACTTTGACGTTTATTAGCAGCTAGCTATTGTTTGTTGAGCTTTTGTTGTACTAAAGTCCGTAATTTTCTTTATTAGATCTTGTTAAGTATTTTCATTCAGAATGAATTGCTGCCAAAACATTTCTATGCCGAGTTGTGTGTGGTTTGAAAGTGGAGAAAAACAAAACATCATTGCATCCATATTTGCAGGAATATTGGTCCGTATCATTGGTGATGATTAATATTTCCATAGTTTATATATACCACATAAAAACATAATTTAGATATTTTTTATAAATTTGCTTACAATATTATACAGTTTTTAGCTTGGAATCTTTGAAATGAATGAGATTTGATCAATTTTGTTGATTTGTAAACCAATTTTATATACCGTAAATAATTTTATGATGGATGACTACATACTCAGACTTTGTTCTTTTCTAGTTTTTTACAGGATGGTGGTTTATTATTGATGCTGAAGCGAAACATGCGAATAGTATCAAGGCAGCTCATGTGTGTGGTGTAATGGCTTCACTTTCACTAATCATGATCAATTCGGTCTCTAATGCTCAGGTCAGTTAAAATTTTTCATCACATAATGCTTTTAAACGATGTTTGTGATGAATCAAATGCAAATGTTGAATATACAGCCAATTGCACAAATGTCCATTAAGTACTTATTATTTTAAAGTGACATTACCCATACAAATTTGACAATCATTAGAGCTTGATGGCGTCATTGAACCTTAATGTACTTTTGTGCAACTGGCCAATAGTGTTTTATATTGTTTATGCTACTAAATAAAACTACTAGTAATATAAGAAATTGAGTGTACATTTATATGGTTCTTGTACTTTTAGATTCTGTCTTTGTAGCCTATAGAAATAGAAAAATCGTCCTCGCCAGTATTGCCACCCTAACTTAAGTACATATTTGTGAGCAGAAAAATGAGCTCTATATTTTCTTCTTAAGCTTTTTGTGCAGTAGTTTTATTTCTTTTAATATTATATATTTTTTGATTCACAAAGATACACAGAAAACAAAAATATTTATTTGCGATTAGTTCAAAGTAGCATAAACTAAGTTATTGCACTCTTTCTAAGAATGGCAAGCCTGAAATTTTATTGAAAGATCATCTTTTAATTACTGAGACTAGAGATTAATTTTTATCACACATCTAATTTAGCTTTATTAACTGTATGAATTTCATATGTTGATTTTAGGTGCGTGGTGAGACATATACTGGTGGCTGCATGGGCCCTCGTGGTGCCCGCCTTTGGCTGTTTCTAGGATTCGTCATTGGTTTTGGTTCTCTTATCGCTTCCTGTTGGATTCTCTTTGCTAATTATGTAAATGACAGTAAGTAAACAACATTACTACCTAACCAACATATCTAGTATTTATACTATTAAAATAAAAAAGAATTAACCACAAATTCTGTTACAACTAGGTTAAATTTTGTTTATATCTTGACAAACTGAAGTTTAAATTCTGTATATAAGTAAGATAACAATTTAACTTAAAATATTACAGAATACAACAAACTAATCAAAATCAGAATTTATTTAGATTACTTTGGATAGTGGTACAATAAAATCAAAACTAATATTAAAAGAGATTGATCTTGTTTGAAAATAAAATAAATAGATATTAAACAACCTCACATACATTACTCAGATTTCAAATTAAGTGCTTAAAGCTTTAGCAGTTGCATTATGTAAATCTGAAACCAAGAATGTAGTAAAGCACCTTAATCACAAAATAATAGTAAAAGTTTATTTTCTACCAAGACTTGAGGCTGGGACTTCAGAGATAGCAATATTTTTAAACTGGTGTGCGAAACACTCAGCTACAGATATTGTGAACAACAGATGCATGACAAGAAAGGGCTTTGTTTTAAAATGAGAGGCTTACATCAGTTACACAAACATTAATTATGGTTTAATAAAGTTGTAATGAATGTTCTAAATCAAAATTTGTATTACTTTAAATTTTAAAGGCTGTTTGTGCAACTCCGTACTGTACTGTCTGCAAAATTTCAGTGTAAGTGTATATATAAATATGTTTCTTTGTAGAAAATTCTCAATCAACATGGCCGGGAGTGTGTTTGTTTCTCCAGAATGCACTTATATTCGCTGGCTCCTTAACTTTCAAGTTTGGACGTACTGAAGACCTGTGGGGTTAAATTTATTTTAAAGATCTTTGTAGAATGTTTATTATTGTTCTATAAATTAGATTAATTAGTTTTGATTAAAACATTTTTTGATAATTTCATAACATTTCTTTTAGTAGTTTGTTAGGAGTATAAACTTCTATATAACATTCTATATTATGTTTCTTTTATAAAGCAATATCTGTCTCCTTTTTTTTACTTAAAAATTTAACACTTTATCAAAAGTTTGTTATAGTGTACAATATTTACATTATGCAGAATACAATTAAAATTGTTTAAGCTTGTGATGTAATTCACTTATCTCTAAATATGTGTAAATAAAAGTGCAGTTTACTTATAATAATTATTGAATAAGTTACGTATTGTTAAATAAGTATTTGAATAACTGAAAATAGTTGTAAACTTATAGATTGATTATGTATTTATTGTTATTATTTTATTCAAAATTATGAGATATTCCAAGGGATCGATGTAAAAGTTTGAAGCAAGTAAATTTATTATTTTGATATCAATAAATCATAAGAATAATCTATGTTTTTTGTTATTATCTAAATTAATATTGAATCTCTAAAATCATCAAGTATAATTCTTTAGTCAATTGTGATATAAAACTAGCGGTATTCCTGAGACTTCCGTAACACCCGCGCAAGATGCAACCAGGGTTGCCAGATGGATAGAGTAAAATATCTGGGCAAAATTTCATAAATTCGCGATTACTTAGGACAAAATAGATATATTCATCCTACGCCTCGGAAAAATTTTGATTACGAGGGTCAAACTGAAAGTTCTTAGAAAATCAAAAACTGATTACATTAGCCAGTTATTAGTTTTATTATATCTTTTCAAAATATTGTCCATTCACGTCAATACACCGCTGCATGCGATGGAACCACTGGGAAAAGCACTTTGCCCACTCGTCCTTAGGGGTCTCTTCAATGGCATCGCGATACGCAGCCACCGCTTCTTCAGCATTCATAAACCGCTTTCCTTTAAGTTTTTCTTTAATTTTTGGAAATAAATAAAAATCACAAGGCGCGAGGTCGGGGCTATACGGCGGGTGACCCAGTAATTCAACGTTTGATGTCGCCAAATAGTCGATCGTTCGCTTGGCGGTGTGCGACGAGGCGTTGTCGTGGTGAAGGAGGATCCTACTGCGAGGTCGTTTCTCTCGAACTTTTTCCAAGACAAGTGGCAAACAATTGGTAGTGTACCATTCTGCAGAAACTGTTTTTTGATCCTCTAACACAATTGTTGCAAAATGACCTATCCTTCCAAAGAACGAGGCCACCATTTTTTTTCCCGCACTTCGATCTCTCTTCACTTTAGTTGGCAACTCCTCGAAAGGAAACACCCACTGAGCAGATTGTCTTTTGGTTTTAGGATCATAACAGTAAATCCAGCTTTCGTCACCTGTTAGTATGTCGAACACAGCATTTGAGTCACCTCCGTTAAATCTTTCAATCATTTTACGACACCAATCCACACGATGGAGTTTTTGAGCCTCAGTCAAATTATGAGGTATCCACCGGGCGCAAAGCTTCCTGACCGCTAAATGTTCGTGGAGGATTTTGTGCACTTGACTCATACCGATGCCTAAGCTTGTCCGAATCTGTTGATAGGTCACTCTTTTGTCAGTCTCTATCATACGCCGCACAACACAGATGTTATCTTCAGTCGTCGCCGTAGAAGGCCGTCCCTCACGTAAATCATCAGTGAGATTAGTGCGACCACGTTTAAACTCATTAAACCAGTTGTAAACAGTCGCACGAGATGAAGTCATAAAAAATCATTGCACGAAAATTTTCTCGTGTTAAATTCATGATGACGTGACACAGACAATTTTCAATTTGCCGCCAAATCGTAAAACAAATGACAAATGAATGAAATATATACTCAGTAATATTGGCAAAGAGTAGTAGTAGTAGTAGTAGTATTATAATTCGTCCATGGGACAGGCGAAGGAACTAAGCCATACAGCCAAATCTTGGGTTATATTATTTTATAAGGCAAAGCCTAATCTTTTCTTTTTGTTTTCATTTTATTCCATCTTGTCTTGTTTATTTTTTTTTTAAAAGGCTGATAGCCAGATCTTTAGTTTTAAATTTCTTTGTCTTGTCCAGGGTTATCATTTTACATATCCGGGAGAGTCAAATCAGATTTCTCCAAGAGTGGAGCTAATATAGTCATAGATCGGTACAAAGTTTTCTGGGCAAGCTAAGAGATCCTGAAGGGAAGGCGGGATAGTCTTGTATCTTTTCAGGAGGTGATGGATCAAAACGAGTCGCTGGATATTGTAGGTTGGGCATGAAAAAAAGATGTGTTCAAGTGTCTGGTTTTCTTGAGTTGAACATTCGGTGCATACTGGAGATGTTATCATATGCATACGATGTAAGTGAGCTTTAAATCGACAGTGTCCAAATCTCAATCTATTTATTTGAGTGTAGAATTTCCTCTGGAGGTAGTCATTGGATATAGCGAACCAAGGTTTTCTGCCAACTTCTTTATTGATACCAGCATACCATGCACCTTTTGTAGTAGTGACAAGTATTCTTTCTGCTGTCCATTGCTCGTAGATTTTTTTACGGTATTCCGGTACGACATCTTGCCAAGGACAAGAGATGTTTTTAATATCGCCACCCAGTAAATTCGTTAATCTGGCAAGATGGTCAACATTTTCATTGCCTGCCACACCAACATGTGCTGGAGTCCAAAGAAACTTTACAATTTTATTGTTGTCAGATAATTTTTGAATAACTTCTTTAATTTCGAACAATATATAATTAGCATTCTGTAGTTTAAAATTATCAAGTGCTTTGAGAACGGACATACTATCGGAAACTATTAAAAACTTGCTTTTGTTGGAGCACATGATATCCATTTGAACATATCTGAGCCAACAGAATTGCAGTGGCTTCAGCCGAAAACACGCTGAAAATAACTGGCAGTCTATGTCCTTTGCCGTACTTAACATTTTTGTGGTAATAAGCAGCTGATACTCCAGAGTCATTTTTTGAGCCATCTGTATAAATTGTTTCATAACCTAGCCATTCTGATAACTTTTCATATACAGCTTCTTTTGTTTGTAAGTTGTTATCTATATTTATTTCTAATTGTGGGAATTTCCCTTCATAGGAACCTTTATAACAAGCCCAGTGTTCATTTCTATTTATGTTTGTTTCTAAAATATATGCTGATATTTCACAGAAATCATGAAGAATATATGGGAATTTACAATGAGTATTTACAGATGTTAATGATGAAAAAGACTCACTTAGACGAATCAGTTTATCTACTAAAGGGTGATTATTTATACTGTGGATTTTAAGGATGAATTTAAATTTTAAATATTTGAATCTTAAAAATAATGAAGAAATATTGCACTCTACTTGCATAGATATAATAGGAGTTGTATTCATTGCTCCTGTGATAAGTCTTAAATTTTTATTTTGAATCTTCTCTAATTTATGAACAAGAAAATGGTCACATGTGTAGCATAGAAAGCTATATTCAAAATGAGAACGGACAATGGATTTATACAACATAAGTAAGATTTTTGGATCAGCACCCTAATATGTCCGAGCTAAGGACTTTAAGATGTTAAAAGCTCTTAGTGATTTGTCTACTAAGCCAGCTACATGTTTATTCCATGATAAGTTCTTAGTGAATATGACACCGAGGAACTTAGCCTCATTACTTACGGGAAGTGGATTGCCATCATATATGATATTGGTTAGTAAAATTTTCTTTTTGCTGAATACTACAACATTGGTTTTAGTTAAATTAATATCCAATTTCAGATATGTAAAATATGATTTTAATTTTTGTAATGCATAGTTAAGTTTTTTCTCCACTTGAAACATATTTGTGCCAGTACAGTACACTGTGAGATCATCAGCATATTGCAAATTATTTACATCATTTCCTAATATACTATTTAACTTATGTATATACAGAATAAATAACAATGGGCTGAGTATCCCACCTTGGCAAACTCCTTTATTAGACATTTGTGGTCCAAACAAATTATTTTGAAAGGACCCCGCCCTTGCCTTATGGAAATTGGCTTTCTGTCAAATCGGATGAAACTATGATGAATGGATAGAGGAAGTCTTCCTGAGTAAAAGTCCTCATGGGCACTAAGCCCGAAAATCGAAACTTTTAGTACTTTTGGGCATTCGAAGTTTTTGATTTTGGATTCTAGCAAAATCAATAAATCCTTGTAGAATCGGCCCAAAGTTCAATTAGACATAAAAGAAAAAATACGTATCGAATATTTTTTCAAGACCTTTCGAACGACACCCTATTTGACCCCCCCCCCCACTCCCCCACCTACGGGGGTGGAAGGGGAGCGGTTTTTTGCGAAAAAGTTCTTTTATAATGTTATAATGGCCTCATGATTGACGGAACACTTGAGCCGTGCCCGATCGACCCCCCCCCCCCTCACCCACCCACCACACGCGGGGGCGGAGGAAGAGAAGAGATAAAAGAACTTTTTCGCAAAAAACCGCTCCCCTTCCACCCCCGTAGGTGGGGGAGTGGGGGGGGGGGTCAAATAGGTTGTCGTTCGAAAGGTCTTGAAAAAATATTCGATACGTATTTTTTCTTTTATGTCTAATTGAACTTTGGGCCGATTCTACAAGGAGTTATTGATTTTGCTAGAATCCAAAATCAAAAACTTCGAATGCCCAAAAGTACTAAAAGTTTCGATTTTCGGGCTTAGTGCCCATGAGGACTTTTACTCAGGAAGACTTCCTCTATCCATTCATCATAGTTTCATCCGATTTGACAGAAAGCCAATTTCCATAAGGCAAGGGCGGGGTCCTTTAACATAGACTTCCCTACTGTTTAAAAAATTAAATATCCATTTCACTAATTTCACAGGTAACTGGAGAGAACACAATTCTTCTGCTAAAATATGATGGTCAACATTATTGAAGGCACCTATGATATCAAAGAAGATACACACAAGAAACTTACCATTTGTAAAGGCACTATGTATGTCTAAATATAAATGATTTAGGCTCTCAACTGCAGAACGAACTCTCCTAAAGCCAAACTGATTATAAGGCAATAAATTATTGTGTTCTATAAAGTAATCTAGTCTTTGTTTGATCAACTGTTCAAAGAGTTTTGCTGCACATGATGTTAGAGCTATAGGTCTATAGGAGTCATGGTCATCTTTATCCTTGCCAGACTTTAGAATGGGGACCAAACAATCGACTTTCCATGATTTAGGAATAATTGACTTTTCCCAAAGTGAATTGTAGATTTGCAAAACTATTTTGTGACTGGAAGGACTAAGAGTTTTAAACATTTTGTATGAGATGTGATCTAAACCAAAAGCTGTATCTCTGCGGGATTCTATGGCACTTAGTAACTCTATTAAAGTGAATGGTTTCATAAAAAATAATTCACTATCAAGACATTGGTCAGAAAAGTAATCTAATGGTGGAGATTGAGTGTTAGAGGTGTACTTATCTAAAAAAAGACTGAATCCAATTGTTAGTATTTGAATTAAAA